TAGCTAACACAATGACACCTGGTGACACAAACACAACGCTAGTCGACAAAGTCGCTGGGGAAAATGTTGATAACGAATGTTTATACTTTAAGATCACTGATTCACTCATTTCTCTGTCAATCAAAAACGTATTCCGCCTCAGACAGATCATCCATTCATCATGCAGAAGCTGAACGTCCAGGACAGCTCACTGCCTCATAGACCCCTAGAGACACTGAGGGCTCTATTTTCGTGCCTCGCCGGAGACGTGCCGCAGGCGCGGCGTCAGTCAGGTCCGCCGCGCCGACAAGGCGTTCCCAAGCACAATTTGAATCTACAACACAGCAACATCCGTGAAGTGTGGAGAGGAATCAGTACCATCTCTGGACACAGCAGTCAAAACAAAAGACAGCCAGTGGTGGGTGATCTAGAAAGAGTTGATGAACTCAACCTGTTTTTCAACAGATTCGACACTGCTGTCACACCCACTTCCACTGCTACTCCACCTTCCTCTCTGCTACAAATCTCCACTGCAACTTCTCCCGTTCCTCCTCCATCTCATTCAAATGTCTCAACCACTTCAACTGCCTCCCTCCTAGAACACCAGTCCTTGTCTGTCACCGAAACAGGGGTGAGGATGGAGCTTGGAAGACTTTGCCCTGGGAAGGCAGCTGGTCCAGATGGTGTGTGTCCAAGGCTGCTTAGAGACTGTGCTGCAGAACTGTGTCAGCCCCTCCACAAGATCTTCAACCTGAGTTTACCGCTGGGGCGGGTACCTGCTCTGTGAAAAACATCCTGCATTGTGCCAGTACCAAAATCAAAATGTCCTGCTGAACTCAATGACTACAAACCAGTGGCCCTCACTTCACACAAAATGAAAACCCTGGAGCAGCTGATTCTACGCCTTCTGAGGTCTGAGGTCAGAAACAAACTGGATTCCCTGCAGTTTGCATACAATAAACACATTGGAGTGGATGATGCTGTCCTCTACATGCTTCACCGTGCCCTGTCTCATCTGGAGGAACCTAGGGTTTATGTGAGGATCATGTTCTTCGACTTTTCAAGTGCACTTAACACCATCCAACCCACCATACTCAAAGACAAGATCACAGAAATGGGAGCGGATCCTGCTTGTGTTTCCTGGATCACAGATTACCTGACAGGAAGGCCACAGTTTGTCAGGCTGGGAAACTGTGTTTCTGGGACATTAATGAGCAGTACAGGGGCTCCACAAGGGACAGTGCTGGCACCATTCCTATTCACACTGTACATGTCAGACTTCAAATAAAGTACTGAGTCCTGCCACATCCAGAAATACTCAGATGACACTGCTATCGTGGCACGTATCAGAAATGGACAAGAAGCTGAATACAAACTGATAAGAGCCTTCAGTGACTGGAGTGACAAAAACTGCCTCCTCCTCAACACCTCAAAGACAAAGGAGATGGTCATAGACTTCCATAGATCCAAACTCCCTCTTCAGTGGACATCGAAGTGGTGACATTATATAAATACCTATGTGTACATCTGGATGGTCTAAGAATATAGACTACATCTACAGAAAGGGGCAGAGCTGCCACTTTTGCCTGAGAAGACTCCGATCAATAGACATCTGTAGTAAGATGCTGCAGATGTTTTATCAGTCTGTGGTGGCAAGTGTGCTGTTCTACGCTGTAGTCTGCTGGGGAGGAAGCATCAAACACAAAGATGCAAGACGTCTTAACAAACTGGTGAAAAAGGCTGGCTCTGTGGTAGGACTCAAGCTGGACTCAGTAGAGGATGTGGTTGAGAGATCCACACTGAGGAAGGTGGAGACAATTCTAAAGAACATGGATCACCCACTTCACAACACCTTGATGGACCAAGAGGCCAATGGTGGTGGACAGCTCCTCTCTCTTCGCTGCAGGACAGAAAGATTCAGAAGATCTTTTGTACCAACAGCCATCAGGCTTTACAACTCTTGTGTAAATAGTAGATAACTTTTAGAGACATATGTGAGATAACAAACAATTGAATTTCCCTTCGGAGATTAATAAAATTCTGCTTGTTCTTATTCTTACTCTACACTTCCCCACTGAAGTCAGTAGACACTCAGCATCCGACTGTGTAAAGCACTGTGGCACTGCAGGGATGAATGAGAAGGAAGTTGTGTTGGTTACCTGTGATAAGTAGCTGATTCTAAACAAAACATGAACGTGTTCTAGTCAATGGAGTGTACATACATCAGTACAAGGTCATGTCCCCCCACTTTTTCAAAAGCCCACTTTGGTCCCCTGCAGTTTTAACCGTCTGAAAACAATGTTACTTTATACTATAGCAAACGGATAAACGTCAGGCACTAGGATCAAATGGCCACTTAAGCCGAAAACTGGTTTCCCTTGGTTTGGACCGCCCACAAGGTCATTGATTGGCTCTGCCACAGGGCCGCTTTTTGTGTGTGATTGGCTATCCCTGCTGTCAGTCATTCCATGCCTACCAGACTAGTGTTTTGCAAGTTGCTCATAAGTGTCAGTACATGAACAACGCTATTCACCCATTCGCTATTCGCCGATGTAAGTTTGCAGGAGGACATTGTTCCCTCTCTAACGTCACATTCATCGGAAGTTTCATTTACATCCTTGTATCGGGTTCATCCACTCGCTAGCCGTGTTGCCTCCTTTGTTTTTGTGTGTGCAAATGTGCTGTTTGCTAGTCATTTGTTTCCCCCCTTCCTTTGAAATCAAAATTACGTCCATGCTTGGGCAAGACACTTAACCTAACTTGTTTCCAAGTGTGTGTCCTCCACTGGTGTATGATTCATATGTAAATCACTTTGGATAAGAGCATCTGCTAAATAACAATGTAACATTTCATTTTCGACGCTTAAGAGTGAAGCTGTGCAGTTCACTTAGGTAGGCTGTCAAAAGTCCTGAACTTGATTTTCAGACTCTCCAGAGTAGACGAGACCAAAAGACTTGTTTGTTTTGCACGAGGGTAAGCCAACCCAGATGTTATTTTTCTTTTTGATCTGCTTCATTTGTGTGAGTCAGTTGCGTTTCTTGTTAAAGTTTATGAGGCAAAGTGCCACTCCACCTGCACTCTGTGCTCTTGTGTCTCTTCTTCTGCATGTGCTGCTGTTAGAGAGGTGAGATTTGATTTGAAAACAGGAAATAAGCTGAAAGATCCAAGTAATAAAAGTGATAATAACAGTGTTGTTGAAATGTTGTTTTAAATAAATGTATCTGGTAAAATTCTGACTGGTGCTCCTTCACATTATCCAGTGACACTTGAAGCTTTATGGTTTGTGCATGCAGACAGAGCTGTGTTTGACTTCTGATGGATTTATTTCTAACCTTTAATCTAATTTCTCAAAAATCCAGAAGCAGTTTTGAAACACTGTGGGGTCCTTTCAATGGATAAAATCAGCCAAACTAACATGCTGTATGAAAATTCAGGGCGTCCCCTTTTGTTCCTGTTCGATCCCACTGTGCAATAGTGCTGTTTGTGTTTGCATACAGGAGCAGAGTTGACTCTTTCCTGCTGACTGAAGCAGCAGAGAGCCCAGAGGTGAGCCAGGAAGTGGAGAGCTAGATTGTCCTCACATGATAAAACCATTGTGAACAGAGTTGCATCCTTTAGGGTGGGTGCAGCAGCAGAGATTGTATTTCAGATCAGAGCAGTGTGGTCGGTGCAGTGCGGTGCTGCAGGGCGTGCAGCTCATCAGAGGGCTGATGGTGGCATTTACTTTACACTCTGAGGCTAATTGAGTCAAAGGTTCACCATGTTATAAGAGTGAGTCATTAATGCTGAAGACAGACAAAAGTTGGATAATTAATCAATGCCTGATCAGGTGATGTGATCAGGAATACGAAATTACTTTTGACATTTTTATCTCTAATTAGACTCTGATTGCTGAGGTACTGATTTGCGTGACCTTCGAGTCTCCTTGAATCTGTTCAAAAATTATCCTTATCCAGTATGTCCGCTCCTTAAAAGGAAGTAAGACAACAAGAGAATAGTTGAAGAGTTAATTCAAAAGAAAACTTTGGATGCAAACATGACTCAGTTATTTTACAGGACAGAAATATGGATAAAGTTTATGAAAGACAACAAACATATCTGGGATCAGTAAAAACCCATGTCTCCCTGAATCGCTCGGATCAGAGCAAATCTATGAACCCCCTAGAAACACCGCATAGCTCTATTCTGCATAGTATCCACATCTGTAGAGTCTTTTAAACCCCTCACCTCTGCAGCACAATCAAGGATACGCAAACTTCATAAAGCTGAGTTTAGGTAGGAAATCAAAGATCTTTACAGAGTTTTAAATTAATAATTGAACCCAAAGCTCAAAATCAACAAGACATCTAATTCCCACCCAAGAACCCCAAATATTCATATGCATTAACATTTTCTAAATAAATGGAACCAACACTTAGTTTTTCCATTTGCTTCACCTAAACTTACCCATATTTAAAATACTTAGTACATTAGACCAGGATTTAGCTATTAACATTATATCATCTGCATATAGAAAAATAACACACAATAAGCACACACCTAAGTTAGCCACCTTAAAGCTAAGCGGTTCACATATACTGCAAACACAGTCAGCGAGAGAATATCACCATGTTTCTCTCAGAAAGCTCAACTTCAGCCTCCAGAAGTTTAAATACAAACAAATCTCTATTAATTATGATGAGTGAAACACTTTACAGCATCTATCAAGTTACAGCAGAGAGGAAAGACACCTCGAACAGAACCAGACTCATGTTAGACAGTCATCTGCTGAAACTCAGCTGGGTTTAGAGAGGGAAGAGAGAGAGATGTATGGTTTTAGTAACAGTGATAATGGAACAAGTTTGTGTTCTATTTACAGGAATAGAGTGATGATGATGATGATGATGATGATGATGATGATGATGATGATGATACTTGACTGAACTTAGATGGATTAAACTGCAGTCATAAATCAGCTCTAACAGAGTGGTTCAAACTGACTTGCTGTAAAATCCCCCTGCTTTGTGTGGCCAGAGGCTGTGTCTGCAATCAGCTGACCTGCAAAGGCCCAATAGAGGCATCATTATCAGTAAAATATGATGAATCTCTGATCCTGTTCCTGACAGCAGGCTAAGGATGCAGATAGGTTTTTAGAAGGTAGGACCAGGTGGAGGGTGAGAGTGGAGATCAGTGAGGACAGCTCTGGCCTATGGCTGTAGTTGGCTCCTCAATCTCTGGGATCAAACCTGCCTCTAAGGACTATGTGTGTGAGTGTGTGTTTGTGTGTGTGTGCAGGGCACTCGTGTGTGTGTATATGGTATAATAATCCATACCAACAGATATAGCATGTTTACATGATCAAACTTTGAGCTTGTGTGCATAAATCTGTCTGTAAAATACTTTACTGTAGCTTTTGCACCATTTCTTTCTCCTCCTACTTCAGCTGCTCACCAGCCAACCTTCACTAATTTGAAATGATGGAAACACTCCTACTATTTCTATTTTTGTGGGTAAAAGGTTAAGTGTCTCATAAAGCTGCCTGCTAGATAAAAGTTTGTCTATTTACAGAAAATGAAAAAATTTTGTGATCATAGAGTCAGTGTTTTTTCTGTCTGTAGCTGATGTGTTTAAAGCCGTGGGGTTTAAGCCTTGGTGAGAATGGGCAGATTACACTGAGTGCTGGCGAGCCAGCAGAGGGGATCAGGTGATGCAGGTGCAGATCAAAGGCAGGTGGACAAACAGGAGGGTAAATGTGCTGATGCTCTGCTCTACCTGATTAAAGCCTCTTCAGCAGCACTCCACCATTCAGCAGCACGCCGCTCTCGGCTGTGTTGATCTAAGCACCGCTAGGATTTGGATGCCTCTTGGTCCTGCTGACTTCTGTATGTTTGTGTGTGTGTGTGTGTGTGTGTGTGTGTGTGTGTGTGTGTGTGTGTGTGTGTAATTGTGCGTGCATGTGTGTGTGTGTGTGTGTGCGTATTAAGTCACCTTAAACTGGTTCAGAGTTGCACAGTCAAAGATTTATTCCTCTGTGGCAACAAAGTGCAGAGACAGTGATGTTGGTCAGTTCAGTTCATTCACATGAAGAAGTCACAAAGAGGTCAGTCCTCACACACTGTAGCGTTTCAACATCAGGACAACATCTCTGTCCCTGTTTTTTTTTTTCATTTGTTCGAGGTCTTGTTGGATCTTGGATCAGCAACAGGATAAGCAAGTGAGCTTATCTTTGAAGCAGCGACCCTTCATCTTTGTTACATCTTTGAAGAAGGCTCCTGGTCTTCCCAGCTGTCTCCTTCTATGTGTGCATGCTCAGGAAACCTCCAAACTAGATTTGTATAATCCTTAACTTTCTTGATAGCGTATTTGAATTTCAAGCATATTTGAATTGACATAAATAACCATCTCCATTTGCATGCTGGATCACATCTACACAAACGCCCAAACACTCTTTCCCTCACAACAAACTCTTTTTTAAATTCAGAGATTAAAATCTGTTTCTGACTTTTCTCTAAAAATTTAGATTTTTTTCTCTTAAAAAAAAGAAGGGAAAAAAAAAACAAGCAGAATTTAACTATTCTGACAAAATCTGACAAATCTATTTTTTTCTCATGATTTGGACTTTTATTTCAAAATCCTGATGTTTGCTCAGAGTTCTGAATTAGCAAAAAGTTTTGACTTTTTCTCTAAACTGTGACTTTTTTATTCTGTGTTGTGGGATTGAGACAAAATTCCGATTTAAGTGTCTTAAGTGACTTTTGAGGATTTTGACTTTTTCATAAACATTCTATTTCCCTGATTTTTTTCTTGAACAGAATATAACTTTTTGCACAGAAATCTGACTTTTATCCTCAGAATTCTGAATTTTATCAGAGAGGTATCTTATTTCTCAGAATTTGGATTTTTCTTCTGAACTCTGAGATAAAAGTCAGAGTCATCACTTTTTCTGTATTATAAATGTTTCTCTGTCAGAAGTCTCACTTTTTCCCAGAATTTTGGGATTAAATTCAAAATCCCCAGTTTGATCCAGAATCCTGTAAAAATATTGTTCAAATTTTAAATTCATTTAAACAGAAAACATCATTATTTATGAGCTGGTAATGAGATAAAACCAGCAGAGATTCTAATATTCAGGAAGGATTACAAATAAATCCAGTCAGGATTTAAGGAGAGGGTAGTAGAAGGACTTAGGGGATGATATTTTTGGACCCCTCCTCGTCTCTGCCGGGAATCAAGGTGGTTTCCTTCCTAGTGATGACTTATAAGAGCGTGTCATCAGCGGTGGCCCCATGCTGAGGGATCTCCTCACCTCCACCTGCAGGTCACACCACTAGGTCTGCAGATAAAGTGAGAAACACTTCAGCAGCTCTTACAGTTCACTGCTGTTATTTGCATCAGCTCACTGGGGGAGCAGATGGAGAACATCTATTTACAGTAAAAAGCACTGAAGTCATACTCGCCCCCCACCGTCTTCCAGTTAATTATATGGTAGCCTTATCTTGTGGGGAAGGAACACATGTTTTTCTTTCACTGCCTCTAGTTACAGCAGAGTTTAAGGAGCAGAGATAAAGAAAATCAAACGCTGTATTTCATCTGCACATTTGCATATAAGACTGTGATTCTCCAACTGGGAGTCAGGGTTTAAAATGACTTCAGAGGGGGTGTGATGATCAAGGGGAGTGAAATAAATGTAGCTGTTATGACAATATGATGAGGGAACGACTCTATCTACTGACCCAAATCTTTAATTTCATTTATATCCAACTCACTTTCTTCTGAAGTGTTTCCACAATTTCATAAACGACGGAGGAAAATTTAATCCAGTGTTTTGTTTTTTTTCTTCTTTTTTTTCTGGTGTGGGTGGTGGCACATTTTTTCAGCTTATGTAAGAAAGTGTGAGAAAACGTGGAAGGCTGTTTGAGAATTATTGTTTCGATAATGCAGGGATGCCCAGAAAATTACCTGCACATATTTCCGAAACTTTTCTTTTGTTTTTCATGGAATAACAATCAGGCAGGGAGGTGGAGATGAGACCGCATTTGGCCCTGACTAGCTGTCAACACAGCCACGCCCCCAAATGTACAAACTTAAATGAATATTTCCTCAAAAATTTAAGCCATGGTCAAACACACCTTAACACTGAGTTAAATCACCCTTTGAGAGATGAATGTTGCCATCTGCTTGCTTCTCTAGTTAGACCAACTTTAGTAATGACCGCATGATAGCAATACACAGTGGTCTGTGTTTCCACACGCAAACCTCAACCAAAAAGCCACTCTATAGTCACAAATAATGCTCAGAACAGCACCTAACTTCATCAACAGTACATATAGGGTCCCAGCCATAGCACTAGCCATCGAACATCCTTTTAGCTTTGCTGTTGTTGTCGTCATTTTTTTCTTCCGCTTCATCCGGGTCCGGGTCGCGGGGCAGCAGCTTCAGGAGGGAAGCCCAGACGGCCCTCACCCCGGCCACTTCCACCAGCTCCTCCGGGGGGATTCCCAGGCGCTCCCAGGCCAGGCAAGAGACATAATGCCTCCACCTGGTCCTGGGCCGGCCACGAGGTCTCCTCCTGGTGGGACATGTCTGGAACACCTCTAACGGGAGGTGTCCAAAAGGCATCCTAACCAGATGCCCGAGACACCTCAGCTGACTCCTCTCGACGGAGAGGAGCAGCAGTTCTACTCTAAGCGCCTCCCGAGTGTCCGAGCTCCTTACCCTATCTCTAAGGCTGAGCCTGGCCACCCTGCGAAGGAAACCCATTTCAGCCGCTTGTATCCTCGATCTTGTTCTTTCAGTCATTACCCACAGTTCATGGCCATAGGTGAGAGTCCGCACGTAGATTGACCGGTAAATCGAGAGGTTCACCTTGCGGCTTAGCTCTTTCTTCACCACGACTGATCGGTTAAGTGTCTGCATCACTGCTGACGCCGCTCCGATCCACCTTTCAATCTCCTGTTTCATTCTACCCTCACTCGTGAACAAGATCCCGAGATACTTGAACTCCTCCACTTGAGGCAGGACCGCCCCTCCAACCTGGAGAGGGCAATCTACCTTTTTCTGACTGAGGACCATGGCCTCGGACTTGGAGGTGCTGATTCACATCCCAGCTGCTTCACATTCGACCGCAAACCGCCCCAGCAAGAGCTGAAGGTCACTGCTTGATGAAGCTAGAAGCACCACATTATCCGCAAAAAGCAGCGACGCGATCCTCTGCCTGCCGAACCAGACACCCTCCAGCCCCCGGCTGCGCCTAGAAATTCTGTCCATAAAGGTTATGAACAGAACCGGTGACAAAGGGCAGCCCTGGTGGAGTCCAACCCTTACTGGAAACGAGTCCGACTTACAGCCGGCTACACGGACCAAGCTCGTGCTCCTTTGGTAAAGGGATTGGACGGCCCTTAATAAGAAACCCTCCACCATGTACTCCCGGAGCACCCCCCACAGGATTCCCCTTGGGACCTAGTCGTGGGCCTTCTCCAAGTCTACAAAACACATGTGGACTGGTTCAGCAAACTCCAAACTGGTGTCCACCACCGAGTTCGGGGATCACCGCCACGACTGGCACCAGCGACCTTGCGGCCGCAGCTCGCAACAGCTGCTTCGACAATGGCTGAGCGGAACAAAGCCCATTCGGACTCAATGTCCCCCTCTGCCCCCAGGACGCAGTTGAAGCCTTGTCTGAGGTGGGAGTTGAAAGCCAACCTGACGGGTTCTTGCACCAGGTGTTCCCAACAGACCCTCACTATACATTTGGGCCTGCCAGGTGTGCGCGGTGGCTTCCCCTGCCACCTGACCCAACTCACCACCAGGCAGTGATCAGTTGACAGCTGTGCACCTCTCTTCACCTGAGTGTCCAAAACATGCGGCCGCAGGTCAGCTGATACGACTACAAAGTCGATCATTGACCTATGGCCTAGGGCCATCATGGTGCCAGGAGCACCGATGAACAACCTTATGCTCGAAAATGGTGTTAGTTATGGACAAACTGCGACTTGCACAGAAGTCCAACAACTGAACACCACTCGAGTTCAGATCGGGCAGACCGTTCCTCCCAATCACGCCCCTCCAGGTCTTGCTGTCATTGCCCACGTGAGCGTTAAGGTCTCCCAGCAGAACAATGGAGTCCCCAGTTGGGGCGCTGTCAAGCGTCCCAACTGGGGTCTGGGTACTCTGGGTACTCTGAACTGTTATTAGGTGCATACGCACAGACAACAGTCAGGACCCGTTCACCGACCCGAAGGCGCAGGGAAGCAACCCTTTCGTCCAGCCGAGAAAACCCCAGCGTCCCTGTGGCGAGCTTTGGGGCGAGCAAGAAACCCACTCCCACTTGATTTTCCTTCATTTCCTGAAACCAGCACTGCGCAGTAGCGATGCACACATTCGGCAGCGCAGTCGCCAAGAGTCTCTGTGACAACGCTCGGCTAAAACAGCGTATCCCTCGGGTGAGCTACGCAATCCCTGAACACCCATAGGCTGTATCAGGTGTCAATCATAGAAAACATGAACCCCCTAATAACTTTTAAAAACGGAGCTTCACAGAAAAAAGAGGACTTGAGCACAAACCAGTCTTGCTGTAACTACATGTCAACATCACAAGCAAGGGGTAGAAAAACGTATACTCTGTGTAACAAATTTCTAAAGTTTGTCCACAGCCCCATAAACTTTGCTGGCGGAGGCGGGATTTATGACCTATACTGCAGCCCATCAACAGAGGGTGCTGTTCTCGGAGTGGCTTCACCCAGCAAGGGGGCAGACTCTGTCCATTCTTGATACAGTCCATGGGTGTGCCTCAAACCATGAGAATACCAAAATGGCTGTACACCGGGCTGCGCCAGATGAAAATACCACTGCACGGGGTCGCTCCGCATCGCAGGCGGACACGAAAATAGAGCCCCAGGTCTCAAGTCTCCAGAAGACTTACTGTGTACCCCTTCAGTCTGGTCTGTGTTTGCTTTACCTTTGCTACAGCTTCAATGGAGGATTATGGCCACACTGAGGGGTACCTCAGAAGTTTAGGCATGGTCTATGTATGCAGGCGGCCTGGGTTCGAATCCACTCCATGGCCTCTTTCCCTCATGTTATTCTCTGTTCTCTCCTGGTTCCTCTCTTACTGTCTGTCCAAAAAGCCACATGAATTTATTATTATAATTTTAGGACTTAGATCTCTAAACCTTGTTTCTTTTTGTTGTTAGATGGCTCTAATACTTGATCATTTCCACCTCAGCAACAGTGTGACATGTAGAGTACTGAAAACAGGGATCTTAATTTTTAAACGATCTTAATCTTTAACTCTGAAGTGATTCAAAAATCATCCAGCATTCATAATCAGGAAAAACAGCAGAGAGATATTTTCTCCCAGAGAAAACAACAGAAGGTCTCTGTCAGTGAGTATCACAAATCTGTATTAGTGTTCATATGAATCACAAAGAGCTTTTCCAGTCCAACATTGAAAGAAATACAAACAGTGTCAGATATCGTTGTCTAGAACATCTGGACTAAAAGATACCTCAGTGGAAAAGTAGGTTAAACAAAGCACAGGGGTTATATACAAATGTTTATATTAGAAATGTATATAATAATAGGCAGAAAAAACACATTTTTTCCCTTTTTTTTCACACATAGACTTCACAATAAATGCAGTCGTGTTCACATCTTTAGTTAGGATGTCAGTTTTAGACTCTTGAAGGTCCCTCCTTCCTGCTGAAGTGCATCCAGTATAAAAAGATACAAAACCCATGAAATCAGACAAAAACACTGACGGGAAACACTCACAGACATGTCAACATGTTTCAATCAGGAGAGACCAGCTATCAGAGCCATAGGATGCAGAATCAAGTTCAGGATTAAGAGTCTGATTAGGCCTGATTGTGGCGTCTCTGTTGTCAATGATGATGATGATGATGATGATGAAGAAAAGGGATGGTTTGAAGAGATGGATGACTTAGAAGTGGAGCTGGGCTTTAAACTTCAACAAGCTTAGTGAGAGGAAACAGTGCAGCACAAAGAAACAAACCTAAAGAGGGGATTTAGTCAAAGTTACAACAGTTTCACAGCAGAATATTGTTGCATGGGTCGCTACTTTGTTACTTTGTTTGCCTACCTGTATTCTGGTTGTTGTTGTTTAACATGTGCTGCAGAGACAGCATGAATGCAAGATGTCTCACTCCACTGTAGTCTGTTTCAGTGTGTTTTTGTCACCAGACTTCCTCCAGGTCACTGTAGCAAAGATAGTAAGTACATTTTGGAACAAGCTGAACTGAATGTGTTACACCTTCAGTCTCTCCGAACACCTTCACTGTGCGCAGAGCTAAAGAAAGATGTTCATTTTGGCTGATAATGTAGCTCACATTGAAAACCTAAGAATAATGAACATGGGAGGAATATGACCTTAAAACAGGGTGTGTCACATTATAGGTTTTATTACAAGCTAAAGCTCTCAAATCAATGTTCATCTGACTGTTTTGTATCCAAGTGTTATTCCCGAGAGCATAGATTCAAATGGGTTCACTGTAATGTTTGATATTTTTATTTGGGTTTTTTCTTTAAGCTTTGCTTATCATTCTCTGTGTTTAGATGTTCAAAAACTTGCTTTTTGCATTAGTCTAACTGACACTGGGCTTTCAAAGTATCTGTAAACACGTTAGTCCCACAAAAACATCACACAGTCAAACTTCTCAGAGTAACATACCAACATAACGCAGATGTGAATCGATTTTCTCTCTTTCACATACTCTTCTTTCAGACTTTAACTGGCCTCAGTGTTCTGGACTTTGAAAAGAATTTGCACACCTGCATTGAACAGCACAAACTGGTTGCTAGGAAGCTGGGTAGTAAGAAGAAAAAATGGGAATCCAGTTAGCCGCTCGCTGATTCATTCGGTTGACTGTCTTGCTTTGTAAAGGGTCAACAGGGAGAGGAATGAGAGGCAGACATGCTAGAATATGGATGTTGCCCCGTTCTTGCAGACTGGGACAAGGACAGTACATCCCGGTAAATCACCTGACCGGGCTATAACGGTAGCTGGATTTAACTCTGAATGTAAACTGAATGATGTTTAAAACCTCAAACCTGCAGCTTTATGAACCATATACTCTGATTTAAAAAAATTTTTTTTAGCAAATGTATTTCATGTTCTCACTTAGTACCGCATCATCCAGAACCCCCAAAACCTGACGGTGATCTGAAAACTGGAGGTGGAGACTAAGCAGTTCAAAGTTTAAGGGCAGGAATTTAATTGTTTCATGGAGACATGTTTATAAGATAATCAGCTAATTGATGTGGAAGCCAGATGCATGAATGAAAAGAGAGAGATAAAAAATGTAAATGAATTGGGGCAAAAGATGGTTTTCCTGATTAAAATTCTGCTACAGTTCATATGATTTACACAATAAACACACATCCCCCCAGCCCCTGTGTTCATCAGGATCCTCTTCCACAGTGTGACACAGTCCGTGTGGGGAAGCATTGTGTAAATCTGTACAAAAGCTACATGTAGCTCAGGGTGCTGTGGAGTAGACCAACATTAAGGCCTTGTCCACACGTAGCCGGGTATTTGCTAAAACAAACACATTTTTATATGTTTTGGCCTGTCATCCACAAGAAAACACAGGATTACTTCATTAGAAACTGTGCTTTTGGAAAACTCCAGCCAAAGTGAAGATTTTCGAAAACTCTGATTTTCAGTTGGCGTGTGGACATAGATAACCAGAGTTTTAAATTCCCAAACATCAGTGTATGCGACAACTAGTAGATAAACATCATTTACTGTGCGCCCTTGTTTATTTTAGGCAGTGGACGGCACAGATATACTGAAAATATATATTTGTGTAAGGAGCAAAGGAGAAGGAGTGCTTTGCAGTCGGTTATTCTACACCAAATAACCTTTCCTCTACCTGTCTTGTGTATCGTTGACTTAATACTCCAAGATGATGCTTAAAAAACAATTCCACCTCTTTGTCGGTCCACATGGACAAACTACACTGTGCTATGTTTCATGTTTGGAGAAGTGACAACGAGAAAGGGAAGCTTGCTCTGATTGGATAGAATGGGTCTAACTTTTTGGCAAACACTACCAAATACCAGGGTTATTATCGTTAATTAAAACTAACGAAATGACGAAAACTAGAATTGAAAAATCATTTTCGTTAACTGGAATAAATAAAAACTATAATTAAAAGAAAGAAACGATAACTGAAGCTGTATACGGGTTTACAAAATGAAACTCAGGAGAAAGCAACAGAGTCCTACATGAAATTTCTTTAAATATGACAGTGAAAAAGACAAAAGCAATAAAATATGTATTTTGTCCAATAAAATATAGCATAAAATATGTGAAATACTTCTTAAGGGAAAAAGACTCACAAATCTGAAAGTCCATAGGAGAAGCACACACAAGAACGTTAATCACGAAAACCTCAACAAAGTGGCCTCTCTGAGTATCTTCTCCGAAAAAAGAAGCAACATCTCAGCCAGGAGATAGCAGCAGGAAGCAGGAGACAACTATAATGGACTCTTTTCACTGACGACCAAATAGCTGCTGGTTCGTGAACACGCAAGAACACCACAAGTGGGAAGATGCACTTGTAAATGTGTTTATTGAGACTAGTTTGCCTACAAGACTGTGAGTTGATGGCCTTTGAAAAGTTTAGCTTTTCTTTCGAGCCAAAATTCTGGTTGGCCGGTGCTGCACGAGTGGATAATCTTATTGCCAAGTATGAAAACCTAAAACTAATACTAAAACTAATAAAAACTGACCTAAAACTAATCATTTAGAAAAACATAAAAACTAATAAAAATGAACAAACCTCCTAATTAAAACTAACTGAACTAGAGAAGAAAAAAAAGTTCAAATGAAATACAACTAAACTATAATGAAAAATCCAAAACTATTATAACCTTGCCAACTCCAGGTCTGGCATGCTGATAACAGCGGTCAAGATCACATTTATGCAGTTTTTTGTAGAGAGGGATTTTATTTCAAAAAGATGACGGGTGTACGTGATTTTTTTTTTTTTTAAACAGAGAGGGTTGGACGGTCGTTTATAAAAATACCCGGCTACATGAGTACATGGCATAAAATTCAAACCACATCAGGGTATTTGATGTATTTTTTTTGTTTTCAGGAGCAGCTGGACTGCAGCAACCTAAATGATTTTCATTATGAAAAGGTGCAAATACAGAAACGTGCAAAAGTGCAAAACAAATGCAATGACCTGGATGATTGAGAAACTTCAAAGTCAAATGCAATGAGAAGAAGGTGCTGCAAATGCATCAAAAACTAACACACCCAAAAACTCAACACCAGAAAACAAACACAGGAGAAAAAAGTGAAAGTCCAGCCACCAGATTCAAGAATGTTGTTCCATGTTTTCTGGTGTTGTTTCATCTGGATTTTCCTGTCTTATTTTTATTTTACTTATTATTCTTTTTATTGTTTTTAACTGTGTTTGCTGTCAAAGCTTTTTGCAGTGTCTCTATTCAGTTGCACATTTTCTGCTTCTTTTTCATGTGTTTCTGGATTTGCACCATTTTAAATTTTAATGTATATTTCTCCAAATGGAAGCTGTTAGCAGTGTGAGTGCCTCTGTCAGCCTCCATAAAACAGACTGAGGAGAAATCAGATAACAGAGGGGTGTTTGATCCTTTTTCAGTGTTCACATGATGACACCCAGCAGGGCTGTATTTCCCACTCAATGCTGAATCGCTGCTTTTCTGCTCCCCAACGCCTCGTCAATATCGAAGCTCATTAATGAGAAAGCTGTTAAGAGAGTGAAAAACTCACCGAGTGGTGCCTAAAGTGCGATATTATCCAGATTCATATGTGTCCTGCACAGTGAAAAATCAAATCCAACCAATAACCGTAAACCGTCACTGTTTTATCTCCCAATTCTACAGAAGATGGCAGAAATTGATGAGAAAAAGATCTGTAGGTAATCACTGTTATTAATGATGATTATTGATTATTCCTCTCATTAGAAATGATTTTTTCTTTTTCAATTAACTTCCAACATTATCATTTGTTATTCCTCAGCTTCTCCAGGGTAGTTTTTTTTCTCTTTTATTGCTACATGTTAAGGTGATCTGTTGCTACTGATGCTCACAAAACCTGAGCAATCACAAACGCTCTTGTAGTCACTAAATTCAGATATTTGACGTCATCATGAACAGAAAGTTCATCAAAACAGGCCCGTAACAAAACCCATCATATCAACGATGCAGCAGCTGATATGAGTTTTTCTTCTTTGTGTTTGAAAATATTCATGGGTACAAACGCAGCAGGTCAAATAATGTCCACCAAGAGCCCCATTTTCATTTAACCCAATCAAGCCTCACTGTAGTCCTGAGCTAAGCCTTGATGTCCTCCCTAAACCCCAGTCCTTAAAGACCCACTCCAATGAAAATCATGCTTGTCTTGTTGTCTACATGTTCATATGGCATTTTTCTGATGCTAGAGGACATATCACGAGAAAACTAAGAGCAAAATTGCATATCTGAGTATTTCTGCCTTCAAATCACTGTGAACCTCTGGCAGACCCAAACAGCAGGTTCAGATACAGTGAGATTTCCTACGTCACAGATCCAAGCTCTGCCCCCGGAGCCCCGTTATGCAGGCCACTCTCAGAAAAGTAGAGAGGACAATCGCAGAACAAGTACATGCGTTAGCAGATTGCAATGTTCGTAAAAAAGATAATTATGATATCAACTTTTATCATGTCCCCAAAGATATGAGTGTCCGAGAGAACATGGCTTGAAGAGGAGTGTGCAGAGCAGCACTGTTTCCGCCCACGACTCAGAGGCAAATTGCTAATGAGCCACTGGAGTTCTGCAGAAGAAAAGCTCTTGAAAATAACACAGGTAGCGTGATTTTGGTTAAAAACTTCATAATCACAGTTTAAAGACCACTGAGAACACTTTAACTAACTAGAGAAGCAAGCGGTCAGCAACAGCAATCTCTCGACGGGGTGTCTAACTCTGTTACAGTGTTTGACCCCAACTTAATTTTCCCTTTAAATAGTTATTAAAAAAAACAAAAAACGATTGGAGTGGGACTTTAAATGGATATGACTGATGTTACCTGGAAAGAGATTGAGAGTGCACCAGGCTGCAAAGGCTTCAATAGGTATAAACATGAATGGGATCATGTTATTCTCCTTACTTCATCAGGGAGTTTTATTTGATGATTTCCTGACACTATCAGTCTGAAGAGGTCAACATGTGACCTCTTTCTAAGGTTGTGTAAGTGAAGCTTCAAATCACTTCAGTCATCTGTATACCACACAACCCAAGGCTTTATGGGTAGTTTCATCATATAGACTGTCTCATTATGACTTGGATGTAAAAATCTGTGATGGTGCCCCTTACTTAACACTTCAACTGGTGACTGATGGCGCACATGCACATTATTTATTCCAGTTCTTCAGTGTGCACACACACCATCATGCATTAGGTCCCTCAAGGCTGGTGGCACTGGACCAGACTACATTTAAAGTCAAGAGGCAACCTTAGATGTTAAGAAATGAAGAGGAGGAGCTAAAAACTGCAGTTCCCCAAGTGTCCACTTGAGGCTGCAGAAGCAGTAGAACCACGTACACGATGAGCCCAAAAAGCGCTTTTCATTTAGCCTTTGATGATTTCCTATAGCATTTCACTGGGATAAAAACAGCTGGATAAAAGCTGTTTTACATCACCAATGTTTTCTTTTCGAAGCATCAGCTTTTCACCTTTAATGCTTCATGTTCACCATCTCTCTACTTTCTGTAAAGTCTGTTTGATGCTGTCTTTTACCATCTCCCAATTGTGAGCTTCCTCAGGAATATTGTGTTTTGCATCACAGTGCTATGAAACATCACATTAAGTCTGAAGATATACTCAATTGCCAAAAGGGTGCAAAAAGGGCCAAAACAGTCAGCAAGAGATCTTTCACTACTTGATGATAAGTGAGTGAGAATGGAACATAAGACTGGACTCGTCAGATAGTGACATAAATGTTTCTGGACCAGGAGTTCGATCTGAAGAAAATCATTCTGACGTGCAGAGATGTTTTGGTCATCTAATGATCTTTCTGTCTGTTCCTGTTACTAACAGACATGGCTGTCATTGCGCCATTGAACATGATGTGTCACAAAACAAATTACAAGAAAACAAAGTTGAAGCTGCACGCCTCCACGTCGTTCCCCTGCTCAACCCTTGTTGCACCAGAAATTTCATCTTCTCCGCCTAAATCTGTGACCTTGGACGTCGGTTGTTTCTTATCAAATTGTAATCATTGTGTAATCTTGCACAACTGAAAGACACGATCCACAGTGAGTAGATCAGCTTGCATGTTTATTTGCAGGTGCTCTAAAGTTTGCACATTTTTTTTTTTTTTTTTTGCCTGTGCCTTCCAACGAGTTGCACATTTTGTTGGTGTGAGTTATGCAGATGATATCAGGTGCAAAGACTGTGGAGGCAGTGGTATTTGAATTGGGTTTTGTGGATTTTCTAGTGGTGATTTTAGCCAGGAAATGCAGACTTAAATAATTCTCTCAAAAGAGGCAAAAAACAGAGACATCGGGATATATTACTAAAGAGGAGGGCAACCTGAGAGAGTTGCAACCATAGACTGTATATAGAATGGATGCCGTCTGCCTCCTCACAGGGTGAAGACACTCCGAGAACAGCACCCTCTGTTGATGGGCTGCAGTATAGGTCATAAATCCCGCCTCCGCCAGCAAAGCTTATGGGACTGTGGGCAAACTTTAGAAATTTATTACACAGAACATACATTTTTCTTCCCCCTGCTTGCGATGTTGACATGTAGTTATTGTAGGACTGGTTTGTGCTCAAGTCCTCTTTTTTCTGTGAAGCTCTGTTTTTAAAAGTTATTAGGGGGTTCGTGTTTGCTATGATTGACACCTGGTATAGCCTATGGGCGTTCAGGGATTGAGTAGCTCTCCCGGGGGACACGCTGTTTGAGCCGAGCGTCATCACAGTGACTCTCTGCGACTGCGCGGCCGAATGCGCACAACGCTGCTGCACAGCGCTGGTTTCAGGAAATGAAGAAAAATCCCGGAAATACCGAGAGCTATTTGGCTTCAAATCCGTATACAGGTGGTAGGCGGAACCAGGTTGTCCATAGTAAATACAGTCTATGGTTGCAACGAGTAAAAAAGTCAAAACTGTTGGTAAAACACAGAGAAGCAAAGACAAAATCAAGAGCACCACTCCAATTGAAATGATTTGCATATTCGTTGAGGCAAACATGCCAAACGGATAATGGACATTACCTTGCACATTTGAAAGATACCATCCTCTGTGTGCAGGTGCTAAGAAGTTTATCCACTTTTTGCCCATGCAAACCGAGCCTTAAGAGTGTCTGATCAAAATGGACAGATTGGAGCGGTCTTTTCCTGTTACTCTGGGACAGCTTGTCAGAGAGATAATCTTTTGTCAGCTATGTAAAGCAAATACCCGGACCTATCATCCGTGAAAACAAGAACTTTTGGTGGACATATTTGAGCTGCTGCAGTGAGACATTCAACCAAGTAAATGTGGTCAAAACTCTTTCAGAAAAACTCTGGTTCCTCTCATGAATGCAGCTGTAAGAAGGATGTCAAAAGGTTTTTAGAGTCTCAGAGATTTTTGAGCAACATTGACTTTCCTTCACTTCCAAGCAGATCCAGACTTTACAAACGTTACTCCTCTTAATTCAAAGACTCTGGGTGTGATTTTTGGGCGGCAGGTGAACTCACCTCTCATGAACTCAAAACTTGAGTAAGATTTTCCAAACCTGTACTGAGTAAGAAAAGAGAGAAGGACTGTTCAAACATGAAAAAACCTTCACTGTGACAGAAAAGAGATGGACAGATGAAGAAGTCCTGCTAGCTTGGAGCGACTCTGTCACAGTTATTTGGCTGGATCCAGGTCTTTGATGACGGGTTCTCTGTTCAGATAGGTGGCCCAGTAGACCAGGTTGAAGCTCCCGAACAGCACGGGGAACATGATGCGGGATATGCGGTCGATCTTACTGACACTGTTGAAGGTTTTCTTGTTCTGCTCAGGCTTCATCTCCGACGTGTTCTTGTTGGAGTCATTCAGGGCACACTTGGAGATGGTCGGCAGCGTGGAGTCTTTGGTGATGTTGGGGGCGTAGTTCGCCACAGCTACAGCGTAGGCGTTGTTCTTCTTCATGATGGCTGCTTCCTTTTTCTGCAGGGAAGAGGGACTCGGTGTTAGATTTCTTTGATGGATTTATTCTTTAATAAAAAGTGAGACTGTTACACTCGTATATGTCAATCATCTACCAGAGCTAGACAGCATCCCAAGAAGATAAATACTAATCAAGGGAAACTTAAAGCACCAGCAGCAGAGCAAAATAAAATAGGTGTGTTCTTTCTTTCATAGGTACCTGTGCAGCTTTAAAGCTCCTGTGAGGAGTTTCTTACTCATGAAAACTCTGAATGATGACCACCAACAACAAACAATATCATTATGGAAGTTATTACTTTTTTTATTTTACCAGATTAAACCTGTTTCAGTGGGGCAAGTGTCAAAGGAAGTGATGTAATGCACTTGAAATCGACATGACTGTGAAAATAAAGCAGGAGAACAGCTCCTGGTCCAGCTGCCTTAAGATGCAGCAGCTCAAACTGTTTTGCACAGCCTGGTTTCTGGCAGGTGTTACAGTTCAGCTTCGGCTATTTCAACAAACAAACAGAGAAAGTTGTGATCATCACAACAGGTGTTTTCTGTCATTGTTGAGTAGATTTCAGCCAGTGTTGCATGTTTACCTGCCACTGTGCCCTCACCTATAACCCTAAAGATTAACAGAAGGAAGTCACACAGCTGTCCCTGTCTGTAACTGACTCGTGATTATTTTTTGTTGAAGACATGGTCTTCATAAGTGTATTTCAGCCCCACCTTGTCATTGACAACACTCTTCCCATCCCAGGCCCAGCCTCTCTTTGTGAAGTAGTTCACAGTGGCAAATTCAATGAGAGCAGAGAAAACAAAGGCGTAGCAGACGGCAATGAACCAGTCCATGGCCGTAGCGTAGGCCACTTTAGGAAGTGAGTTACGGGCGCTGATACTCAGAGTGGTCATGGTGAGGACTGTGGTGACTCCTGAGGGGAAAGGAGGGAAGAAACAGAGAAAGCTTTTGTCAGAATCAGAGGGATAAATTCAGAAAAAAACCTCATGATCACTTTTACAGCTACTCTCCTCACTAACTCAGTGTGAATCAGGACAGAGTGTTGTTCCATTTGAACAAACATAAGATTTGTCTGAATTTAATTTAAGAAAAGAAAGAAAAATCTAAGAACAAAAAAGAAAACACACCAGCGAACGTGCATCTGATAGATCAGCTATGTGTGTGTGTGATTTACACGAATGACATACACACGGACACATGGCACTCTAATGAAATTATCACAACAGGTACTGTACATGCAATACGTGTGTGCACCCGGGCACTAATCCTGGGCACACATACACACACACACACACACACACACACACACACACACACACACACACACACACACACACACACACACACACACACACACACACACACACACACACACACATAAATAGGTATCTGTGCTGCAGGTCACATTTAATAGCTAGCTATCACACAGTGAACACATCAATACCCACAGTAAGAGGATAATGCGCTTCCATTTTGATGTTGTTTCCTTTCCCCCCTTGTACACACACACACACACACACACACACACACACACACACACACACACACACACACACACACACACACACACACACACACTTTCCCCACTGTGTTTCATCCTTCATTGTTTTTTTTTTTTTTTTTTTTTTTACCTCACATTTCCTAACATGTCTTTTAACCTCTGCTGAAGATTCAGAGACGTGCAGACACATTTGTTTGCTGTCTGTGTGGGAAGCTTAACTAAAGTTTGAAATGTTGAATTTAAAAACTGACCAAAGACCGTTCGGGCTGGGACGGACTCTCTGTTGAGCCAAAAGGAGACCTGTGAGAGGATGACAGTCATAATGCAGGGTAGGTAGGTCTGGATGACAAAGTACCCGATCTTCCTCTTTAGGTGGAAGTGAGCCGTCATGACGGTGTATTCACCTGAGGAGCAGACAGACACAGCAAGGTTTAAGGGCACATACATTAGACATATTAAATCCTACAACTCCTTAATCGCTTGTGTACTTAAAATAGATGCTCACCTGTGCTGGATTTGATGGTCTCCTTCCCCACTGTCTGACCCACCAGGTCGTACTGGTTCAGTCTGGATCCATCAGCTGCCACTTCCACAGACTGAGAGGCGTTTCGGGTCCAGATGTAAGTCACCTCTGTCTTTGTGTAGGCATCTGGTGGACAGAGAGTATGAGGATAAACACAGAGACTGTCTAACAGTGGAGCAGCATCTCAGGGTTTAAATTACAGAGATCAAATGAACACCACCTCTGCATCTCCTGACACCAGCTCCCACACAGAGACAGACTCCACCACATTTTTTCCACCTCATATAATAAACTAAGTTTACCTCAGAAAGCAAGTACACTGGTGCAGACAAGTGAATTGACTCCAACTCAACCGTGTTCTGTTTTAAGTCTTCACTTTGCTATATTTTCACAATGCTGCCAGGCTGCATATCTGCAAGAGTCTGTTCATATCTGACAACTAACAAGCTTTTCTTCAGGATACAATCATCATATTTAACAGGAAATATATATTTAACAAATGGTGGGCTGCATGTCTCTGGTGGCTTACTGGAAGCCAGCTGAGGGCAAAGCTCAATGTTTTGGCCCCGCTCCCTTTATTGTGGTCAATCAGTTTTTGCAGAGTTACATCAACCATTGTGGGTCCTTAGACAAGATCCTTAGCGCTATGGTGTACTTTACAAACATGAATGCATTACCACCGAAAGTCAAACCGTGCAGACATCACCAGGGTGAACAAGGTCTATGTCAAATGCTTTGGGACCAGGACATTGTATTGGGAAATGGGCTACTGGAATAATACAGAGAAGGCAATGGACACAAGATGAGAATAAGGCTCTGTTGGGATGCTGCTACTCCAGTAGCCCTAGCCAGTGGGGTTACATGAACAGGCTGCGGGATAAATAGTTGCTTCAATACCCACAGTCAATGCTAACACCGAAACAGCTAGTAGCTCACTGTCCCAACATCCACCATCAGCTGCTATTACCACTGAGGAGGTACAACATGTAAATGCTACTGCAAGGGGGAGCCAGGACACTAGGTCAGATGGGGGGAGTTAACATCCCCACCTGAGATTGGGTACCAAGCTCTAGAGTTGAACAAAGAGCAAACTGATCAAAGAGATAAGATCATGGCTAAGATGAGCATACATATATACAGTATATATATATATATATATATATATATAACGGGTTGGACCCCCTTTTGCCTTCAGAACTGCCTCAAGTCTTCGTGGCATAGATTCAACAAGGTGCTGGAAGCATTCCTCAGAGAGCTTGGTCCATATTGACATGATGGCATCACACAGTTGCCGCAGATTTGTCGGCTGCACATCCATGATGCGAATCTCCCGTTCCACCACATCCCAAAGATGCTCTATTGGATTGAGATCTGGTGACTGTGGAGGCCATTTGAGTACAGTGAACTCATTGTCATGTTCAAGAAACCAGTCTGAGATGATTCCAGCTTTATGACATGGCGCATTATCCTGCTGAAAGTAGCCATCAGAAGTTGGGTACATTGTGGTCATAAAGGGATGGACATGGTCAGCAACAATACTCAGGTAGGCTGTGGCGTTGCAACGATGCTCAATTGGTACCAAGGGGCCCAAAGAGTGCCAAGAAAATATTCCCCACACCATGACACCACCACCACCAGCCTGAACCGTTGATACAAGGCAGGATGGATCCATGCTTTCATGTTGTTGACGCCAAATTCTGACCCTACCATCCGAATGTCGCAGCAGAAATCGAGACTCATCAGACCAGGCAACGTTTTTCCAATCTTCTATTGTCCAATTTCGATGAGCTTGTGCAAATTGTAGCCTCAGTTTCCTGTTCTTAGCTGAAAGGAGTGGCACCCGTTGTGGTCTTCTGCTGCTGTAGCCCATCTGCCTCAAAGTTCGACGTACTGTGCGTTCAGAGATGCTCTTCTGCCTACCTTGGTTGTAACGGGTGGTTATTTGAGTCACTGTTGCCTTTCTATCAGCTCGAACCAGTCTGGCCATTCTCCTCTGACCTCTGGCATCAACAAGGCATTTCCGCCCACAGAACTGCCGCTCACTGGATATTTTTTCTTTTTCGGACCATTCTCTGTAAACCCTAGAGATGGTTGTGCGTGAAAATCCCAGTAGATCAGCAGTTTCTGAAATACTCAGACCAGCCCTTCTGGCACCAACAACCATGCCACGTTCAAAGTCACTCAAATCACCTTTCTTCCCCATACTGATGCTCGGTTTGAACTGCAGGAGATTGTCTTGACCATGTCTACATGCCTAAATGCACTAAGTTGCCGCCATGTGATTGGCTGATTAGAAATTAAGTGTTAACGAGCAGTTGGACAGGTATACCTAATAAAGTGGCCGGTGAGTGTATATATATATATATATATATATATATACAGTACAGGCCAAAAGTTTGGACACACCTTCTCATTCAATGCATTTTCTTTATCCTCATTACTATTTAAATTTTAGATTCTCAGTGAAGGCATCAAAACTATGAATGAACACATGTGGAATCATGTGCTTAAGAAAAAAGTGTGAAATAACTGAAAACATGTTTTATATTTTAGATTCCTCAAAGTAGCCACCCTTTGCTTTTTTAGCGCTGCAAACTTTTGCTGTTCTCTCAATAAGCTTCATGAGGTAGTCACCTGAAATGGTTTTTACTTCACAGGTGTGCCTTGTCAGGGTTACTTCTGTCATCAAGAGCAAAGGGTGGCTATTTTAAAAGAAACTACAATATAAAACACGTTTTCAGTTATTTTTATTTATTTACTGTATATATATAGCTAATTTTTTTCCAGGTCTACATCATTTATTTCAACACTTTTTTTTTTTTTTTTTTTTTTACATTGCAGGAGAAGCTAAGCTTCCCCTGCAACCGATATCAGTCCGGATGGTTCTTTTCCTCTTTTGCCCAGAGGACACGACATCCACTATTTGCAAAAACAATATGAATTGTGGACTTGTAAGACCACAGACCACTTTTCCACTTTGCATCAGTCCATCTTAGATGAGCTCAGGCCCAGAGAAGTTTCTGGATGTTGTTGATAAATGGCTATTGCTTTGCATAGTAGAGTTTTAACTTGCACTTACAGATGTAGTGACGAACTGTATTTACTGACAGTGGTTTTCTGAAGTGTTCCTGAGCCCATGTGGTGATATTCTTTACATACTGATGTCAGTTTTTGATACAGTGCCGCCTGAGGGATCGAAGGTCAAGGGCATTCAATGTTGGTTTCTGGTGGTGCCGCTTACGTGCAGTGATTTCGCCAGATTCTCTGAACCTTTTGATGATATTACGGACCGTAGATGTTGAAATCCCTAAATTCCTTGCAATTGTACTTTGAGAAACATTGTTCTTAAACTGTTCAACTATTTGCTCACGCAGTTGTTCACAAAGTGGTGAACCTCGCCCCATCCTTGCTTGTGAATGACTGAGAAGTTTTGGGGAAGCTGCTTTTATACCTAATCATGGCACCCACCTGTTCCCAATTACCCTGCTCACCTGTGGGATGTTCCAAAAAGGTATTTGATGAGCATTCCTCAAATTTCTCAGTATCTTTTGCCACCTTTCCCAACTTCTTTGTCCCGTGTTGCTGCCTTTAAATTCTAAAGTTGATGATTATTTGCAAAAAAAAAATCGGAAATAAACTGTCTGTTCTCCACTGAACCAGCCAAAGTGTACTCTCATTGGCAGGGTAATAACACTCGAGCAAACCCACCAAGGCTGGAGACTGAACTATACTGGAAAGGTATATGGGAGACAGAAGCATCACATAACAAGAATGCACAGTGGCTAACCGATCTAAAAGGACACCACATCAATCTCCCTTAACAACATGGTGTGACCATCACATTAGCAGACATCCAAGAAAAGTCTCAGGTATGAAGAACTGGACAGTTCTAGGCCTGGATGTGATTCACACCAACTGGCTAAAGAAGCTGACCTCACTCCATGACCGCCTGGCAGCACAAATGAACCAACTGCCGAATGATGGGACCCACCCAGAATGGCTGACCCAAGGCAGGACAGTCCTGATTCAGAAAGATCCACAGAAAGGAACAGTCCCATCCAACTAGTGGCCGATCACTTGCCTCTCCACAACATGGAAACTCCTGTCAGGCATCATTGCTGCTAAGATAAGTGGGCAGATGGATCAATACATGACAGAGGCACAGAAGGACATTGGTAAGAACACCAGAGGGGCAAAACACCAGCTACTGGTAGACAGAACAATCGCTTGAGACTGTAGAACCCGACAGACCAATCTGTGCACTGCTTGGATTGATTACAAGAAAGCCTACGACTTGATGCCACACACCTGGATCCTGGAGTGCCTGAAGCTGCGTAAGGTCAACAAGACCCTAAGGGCCTTCATTGCAAACTCAATGAGGCAATGGAAGACCACCCTTGAGGCCAACTTCAAGTCAATAGCACAAGTCTCCATCAAATGTGGCATATTTCAAGGAGATGCTCTGTAACCACTGCTGTTCTGCATAGGCTTGAATCCCCTCAGCTAAATAATCAGCAAGACTGGCTTCGGATACCGTCTCCAAAATGGGATGACCATCAGCCACCTCCTCTACATGGATGTCATCAGGCTGTACGCTAAGAGCAAGCGAGATATTGACTCACTGATCTACACCACCAGGATCTACAGCAGTAACATCGATATGTCATTCAATATGGAGAAGTGTGGCCGGATGGTGACAAAAAGAGGGAAGGTGATCCATACAGGGGGCACTACCCTCCCAGAGGGCAGAATAGCAGATGTGGAGGAGAGCTACAAATACCTTGGCATACCACAGGCAAGTGGCAAACACGAAGAGGCCACAAGGAAAGCAGCAATGGCCAAGTACCTGAAGTGAGTAAGGCAGGTCCTAAATAGTCAGCTAAATGGCAAAAACAAAATCCGGGCAATTAACAGCTATGCCCTTCCAGTGATAAGATACCCTGCTGGAATAATAAGCTGGCCAAACAAGGAAATTCAGGCCACAGATGTTAAAACTTGAAAGTTGCTCACCATGCACGGGGGTTCCACCCCAAGTCCAGTATCCAGAGGCTATACACTAAGCGCAAAGAAGGAGGCAGAGGGTTAGTGAGCATTAGAGCTGCTATCCAAGATGAAACATCCAAGCTCCATGACTATGTCAGGAAGATGGCTCACAGAGATGGAGCACTTAGTGAGTGTCTCAGACAATGGAAACTGACCGGTAAGGAGGAACTGGAGGAACCATCATGGGAGGAAAAACCCCTGCGTGGGATGTACCACTGACAGATAGCTGAAGTGCAAATCCTACCAATGGCTGGACTGAAGGACAGCAGAGAGGCACTTATCTTGGTGGCACAAGAACAGGCCTTGAGCACCAGAGCAATAGAGGCCCAGATCTACCATACCAGGCAAGATCCCAGGTGCAGGCTGTGCAAAGAGGGCCGTGAAACACCCAACAGCAGGATGTAAGATGCTGGCAGGAAAACATACATAGAACGCCATAATCAAGTAGCCAGTACATTGTATAAAATAAAAATAAGAACTTTATTGATCCTCGAAGGGAAATTCAATTGTCTGTTGTCTCACGTAATATGTCTCTAAAAGTTATCTATTATTTACATAAGAGTTATAATGCCTGATGGCTGTTGGAACAAAAGATCTTCTAAATCTTTCTGTCCTGCAGTGAAGAGAGAGGAGCTGTCCACCACCATTTGCCCTTTAGTCCATCAAGGTGTTGTGAAGTGGGTGATCCATGTTCTTGAGAATAGTCTCCACCTTCCTCAGTGTAGAGCTCTCCACCACATCCTCCACTGAGTCCAGCTTGAGTCCTACCACAGAGCCAGCCTCTTTCACCAGTTTGTTAAGATGTCTTGCATCTTTTTGTTTGGTGCTTACTCCCCAGCAGACTGCAGCGTAGAACAGCACACTTGCTACCACAGACTGATAAAACATCTGCAGCGTCTTACTACAGATGTCTATTGATTGGAGTCTTCTCAGGCAAAAGAGGCGGCTCTGCCCCTTTCTGTAAATAAAGTCTATATTCTTAAGCCGCGTTCAGACCAAATGCGACCTCGGGGACGTGAGCAACAACTCCCAATGCAAAGTCTATGGACAGCCACGACCTGACATGACTTGACGACCGCCGGCGAAGCGACGTCAGCGACCTCGGCGACCAGGTCGCGCATGGTCGCCGACATCGCGTCACCCGTGGTTGCGTCACCCAAGTCACGTTGCTCAGAGAGAAACTTTCGCGAGGAGGTACAACATGTAAATGCTACTGCAAGGGGGAGCCAGGACACTAGGTCAGATGGGGGGAGTTAACATCCCCACCTGAGATTGGGTACCAAGCTCTAGAGTTGAACAAAGAGCAAACTGATCAAAGAGATAAGATCATGGCTAAGATGAGCATACATATATATAGCAACTTTCCACGACTATTTGCCGCGACAGCCAATCAGGGCTCTGCTGACGTCAACAAACCGGCAAAGCAAGGAGGAGGAGAAGATTCACACAATGGAGGGGCAGCTAATCACTGCCGTTAGCTACCACCCGGTGCTGTACGACGTGGGGTGCGGGTTCTACCGGGACCGCACCTCCAAGGAGGAAGCATGGGTGAAGGTGGCCCATGATGTCGGGCTTTCTGGTAAGTTTGTTTGTTTATTTATTTCAGTGAGCAGACTATTTTCTGAAAACATAGCATACTGCCCCTGCTTGCTAGGCTACATGTTTCAATGTGTGTGTGTGTGTGTGTGTGTGTGTGTGTGTGTGTCTTTGCAGTGGATGTGTGCTGCAAGCACTGGAAGGGGCTGCGGGATGTATACATGAGGGAGAAAAGGAAGGAGGAAGGAAGGTGGGAGAAGCGGGTCAGCGGCCTCCCAGCAGAAGAAGTGACGTTTCTCTGCGGTGATGTCCTTCCTCAACCCCTTTATTGCCCCGATAATACATTTTATTATATTATTAATATCTGCTGTTGCAGCCTTTTAAAAAGTAGTTTGATTTTTTTGTTGTTATAAATATTATATTTTATTATATTTATTATATATATTAATATTATTATTATTATTATTGTTGTTGTTGTTATTATTATTATTATTATTATTATTATTATTATTATTGTTATAAATATTATTATTATTATTAGTATTATTATTATTATTATTATTGTTATAAATATTATAAATATTTGTTGTTATAAATATTGTTATAAAAAGTTTTCTCAACTTTGCCTTGTTTCATTCTTTAACATGCAGTCATGAAGTAACATAACTAGGTTGCAGTGCTTTGATGTATAAATTTTACTTAACCCTTGTGCACCCCTTAAAATTTAATGACACTTGTTACCCGCGTGTGGGCTAACAAATAAATAATAATATAATAATAATGATCTTGTTTTATGATTTGGACTTATTGGGTCTGAAATAAAGTTTGTAGATAGATAGATAGATAGATAGATAGATAGTACTTTAAGCATGTAGGTAATCTGTGTTTGAAATATTACCATCTTGATCATGTCATGTTGACAATAGTTTGTTGACACAAAAGAAATGGCAATTGCATATCACTTTCACCTACACAGGACACTCGTTAGCTTTCTATTGGTACTTTGTTTTTTAATTTTACAATAATTTCCATATTGTATAAAGGACTGGAAAAAATTTGAGCCCCTGCCCCTGTATAATCATATGCACGTCCCTGTCCTGGCTCCAAGGTGAATCTTCACTGCTCATGTTCTCCTCAGAAGCAGTCACCTCACTCCCCTCAGGTTACTGTACACATGCAGCAACTGCCTGCTTCAGGTTTAGATGGTGCTTCGTGGTTGTCTTTTGGAGAAATGACCAGCCAAGTTGTGTTTAAAATTTTAAATTTTCTAGGGCAAAAGGAAGCCTCCACATTCCTGTCGGATATGCAAATAGCATGTTTTTGCAGGTGCGTAAAAATTGACTGACTGTGTGTGTGTGTGTGTGTGTGTGTGTGTGTGTGTATCTTGCAGTACTCTGAGGAGAATGACAAGCAGGACACAGACACAGCTATGGAGACATTCTTGTACTTTTATGTAGGACTTTTGCTCAATAGTTGTTTGTGGTGGCTCTGAAAAGAGCCGTTGTGGGGGTGCAGCGCACTCGATGGTATCCTGCCATGGGACCGCTCCTTCAGTTGAGAAGTGCTCGGTGAAGGTCTGCCTGACTGCGATGGCCTCCCGGGACGAGTTGTTGGAAGCGAGACGTCCCAGCCCTGCCTGAGGCTCCTCACCACCCGTGATGGCACCCAACCCCATAGCAGCTTCAGGCTGAGACCTACGCAGGAAGTTATGAAGGACACAGGTGGCCTTCACACACTTCTCTGCAACGTCTGGAGAAACCTCAAGGGCACGTCGGTACATCCTCCACTGAGTGGAAAGAATGCCGTAGGCATTTTCAACCACCAGCCGCGGCCTGGACAGCCGGCAGTTAAAAATGTGCTTCTCTCTGGGGAGGATGCGCCCTGGATACGGCCTCATGAGGTTCCTCCGGAGCGGGAAAGGCCTCATCTGCAACAAACACATGAGGTTGGAGTCCCCTGTGCTCAGCTTCAGGCAGTGATCGATCCGGAGGCAGCTTAAGGGAGCCAGAACGGAGGGCCTGACCAAATGCAGAGTTGGCCAGAATCCCCCCGTCACTGGTCCTCCCAAAGCCTCTGACATCGATCACTCTGAAGAAATAATTGGCATCTACAACTGCCATGAGAACAATAGAAAATGTTCCCTTGTAGCTATAGAACTGTGATCCTGAATTGGCAGGAGCCTTCAGAACCACATGCTTCCCGTCCACAGCACCACAACACAAGGGGAAGTTCCACCGCTCCTCAAAACCCTGTGCTATGGATCTCCACTCATCACAGGTGGGCACAGCCATGAAGTCCTCCACCAAGCACTCCCAGATGCAGGACACGGTGTCTGCCATGATGCCTGACACGGTGGAAACTCCAACTCGAAAGCTGTAGGCAATGGTCCTGAAGGAGTCTCCAGTAGCCAGGAACCTGAAGCACATAAAAATTAATTTCATTACTATTTTTATTCAAAATATGAGGCCATATGAAACACAAACGTAACCGAAGATTTGAGTGTCCATAAATCCTCTTTGACACGGACATTTATGCTAGCACCCAGTGTATCTGGTCATTTTAAAGTAATTAATCTCCAGGTAATTTTTTTACAGTATTTATTGTTTGTGTTAAGGGTTCATTTTTTACAGTGTAACTTCTTACTTTACTGAGTGGATCAAATAAAGGAAACAGACCAATCCTGTTCTTCAGCAGCACTTAATCAGTCTGATCAGATAGGATTATTTTCACAGGAGTTATATTATTTGTCTTTCGTAAATTGATCAGATTCACAGAATTTCAAAATCACATTAGTGTGTCCAAGAGAAGTCTTATTTTGACTGGATATTAAAGGACAGAGGCAGAGAGCAGCTCACAGGAAGAGCTCACTGCACAGAAAGCTGATAAACTTTGCAGTTTTGCCTTTTTTGCCCAGTGTATCTGGTCATTTTAAATTAATTACATTTGATTATACTCACTGCAGACAGATAGACAGGCGCTCCGAAGCTGAGATGGAGCACCTGTAGTTCGTGTCCTGGTGGGAGATGCTGCTTCCCACCCGGGCGAGGAGGTCCTCGAACTGCGCCGACGACACACGGAAATACCGCTGGAAGCGCCCATCATCCAGGCAGAGTTCCTGGAGCAAGCGGTGAAATTACCCCAGCTCCGTCCTCCTCCGGATGGTTTTTAATGCACCCAAACATGCCGACGGACATCTTGAACACTTGTCGCACTGAAAACTGAGCTAGTGACGTCATCGGCGACCAGCCGCGTCCTGTGACCTCCGTGACTGCAGCTTTGGACCCGGTGTGAACACACCAGGGCGCAACGCGACGCAACGTGACGTCTTTTCTTTTGACTGCTGAGTCCAGAGATGGTACTGATTCCTCTCCACACTTCACAGATGTTGCTGTGTTGTAGATTATTCTCTATCTTCTTTTTGTACTCCAGCTTTGCCATCTTCAGTCTCCTCTTCAACTCTTGTTGCACTTGTTTGAGTTGTTCTTTGTCACCATCTTTAAAAGCTTTCTTTTTCTGGTTAAGGAATCCTTTTATGTCTCTTGTTGGGGAAACCGTGAACAGTTTTTGTGGGTATAACTGTGTCTCTACAGAAGTTGACATAATCAGTAAAGCAGTCAACCTGTTTATCAATGTTCATACTATCCACATCTGTTTCCGGCAGCACATTCCAGTCTGTTGATTTAAAACAGTCCCTTAGAGCTTCACCGGCTTAAGGTGTCCATCTTCTGATTTTGACTTTGGTCACAGGCTGCCTCAGTACACAAGGTCTGTAACAGGTTTGCAGACTGACCAAGTTATGATCTGACTTGCCCAGTGGTGGTAAGGCAGTGGCTCTGTAGACTTCTTTGACGTTCGCATACAGCAGATCCAGGGTTTTGTTTTCTCTGGTAGGACAGTTCACAAACTGTGTGAATCCAGTCAGGTGAGAGGAGAGGGTGACATGGTTGAAGTCTCCTGATATTATTATTAGTGCCTCTGGGTGTTGAGTCTGTAGCCTGGCAACACTATTTTGCAAAACATTGCAACATTATTCAGTTGATTTGGGTGGAATGTAAAAAACTACTGTTATGATATGACTAAATTCTTTTGGAACATAATATGGCCAAAGAGCAACTGCGAACAGATCAATATCTGGATGAACAACTTCTCCTTGACAGTCAGTGACCCCTAGGAACAGACTAGGTGACAACCAAGAACAGTTTGGTTGACTACTGGAGAGACAGTTGACAGCACGGAAGACGGCACCCGGGGCAGGTTGGGTTAGCAACTCAACCTGTATCTTTCGTGAGAGAGAACCCAAATCAAGCTACAGAAAGCCCTATGGTGAGATACCCCCAGGAGATCCCGAGAGGGGGGGGGGGGATCTCCAATCGGACGGACCACACCGTGATGACCCAGGCAAATGAAAAAACGACGAATGTAACATGCATTTGCGGAAAGCTGTGCAAGAACCATCGTGGCCTGAAAATCCATCAGGCTAGAATGAAATGCTTGGAGAAAGACAAGGAGGTACAACGCCCAGGTCTTGTACCTGGTGAGATGCAGGAGGAGCCTGGCCAGGAGGCAACCCACAGAGCCCAGTCCCTCCACGTACCTCTGCCCTCTAATCCAAGCATAGTAATTCCACAGCAGCGGATTAAGTGGCCCCCAGCCAGCAAGAGGAGCGAGTGGCAGCAGTTTGACGAGGATGTGTCAAACATCATCTAGGCCAGAGCCAAAGGAGATGCAGACAGCCGACTCACATTGATGACCACCATCATCGTCAGCTATGCCTCAGAAAGGTTTGGGCAGGTGGACAAAGTAAAATCAAAACCCACTTCCTACAAAATGAGCCGCAGGGCCACCCAGATACATCATCTGCGCCAGGAGCTTCGCACCCTCAAGAAGCAGTACAAGGCTGCAACTGAGGAGGAGAAGCAACCCTTAGCGGAACTGAAAAACATCCTGCGCAAGAAGCTGATGACTCTTCACAGAGCATAGTGGCACCGGAGACGGGGGAGAGAGAGGGCAAGGAAGCAAGCAGCTTTGATCGCCAACCCCTTTGGCTTTACCAAACAACTGCTAGGGGACAAGCGCAGTGGCTGGCTAGAGTGCTCTATAGAGCAAGTAAATCACTTCCTGCAGGACACTGTGAGCGATCCTCTGAGAGATCTGGAAATTTACGGCGTGCGAGGTGGAGGTGCTGGTGGCGGAGGTGGAGGAGCGACAGCGTGTTTTATTTGGCAGCCTGTCCAGTGGCGTCAGTGCAAAACGAAAATGCTTGGAGTGGGAGAAAGTTTGCGAGAGGGTGAATGCGGTGGGGTCCGAGACACGCACCCCCGCGGAGATTAAAAAAAAGTGGTCGGACCTCAAGGTGGAGGTCAAGCGGCGTACAGCTGCCCTCCGGAGGAGTACTGGCCAGACAGGTGGGGGTCCGGGGGAGGAGACCCTCACACCGTTTGAGCAGCGGGTGGTGGCGATTATTATTATAGGGTAAGTGGCGTGTCACACAAATGTCCACATGCTTTGTCATCCCACTGAGCTAAAGACGTATATTAGACGTCTAGTCTAAGTTTATACTTCATTTCAACGTCGGGATTCAGTCTATTTTTAGACGTGATTTATTCTTCGCCCTTAACTTCATTTTTCGATAACTTTTTATGCAATAAACAACTGTAATGTGCATAACTGACCTCGAAATACTGGATTACATTACCTATGATACCGTGGAGAGAGATGTAAACGCAACAGATACACAGAAGCAGGAATTGAAATGAACAAATATTTTTATTGTGTCACAGAAATCAATTTGTCGGCCGTGTCGCCGGCTTGCGGAACCCCGGCCCGCGGCAGCCCGTCCGCCGCCTCGGAGTCGTCGGCCAGGACCAGCGGCATTCGGGCCACCCCGGCCCCCGGCCCCAGCACCAGCATCAGCACCAGCGCGCCGACAAGCGGTGGAGCGTCCACCAGCCGCGGCGCTTCCGCTGGACCACCCGGACGCAGTGGAAGGGTCCTCGCGGAGGCGGTCCTGCAATCGCAGGAAGAAATCATCAAGGGGATTGCGGGGATCAACCAGCGGCTGGACCGGCTCGTAAATGTCCTCGAGCGTCTGGTGGAGAAAATAAATTCATTTGGCTCATTGAACTGTGTATTCACTTCTTACCCATTCACACTGTGGCGATGAGATTCTCCCGCGCGAGGACGGCGGCCCGGCAGGGATCAGGTCGCATCCCTCCGTCTGCTGCTGGTTCGTCATGTGGGGCGACGTGCTGCTCGGCCACGGGGATGTGGTGCACGCTTGTCACATAGTGAGTCACCAAACACCGCCACACAGCGTCGCCAAAGTGCGAATCACAGTCAACGCAAGTATCAGCTCAACGCCAATTTCTACACCACCTCCTGACTTTGCGTTGATTAGCGCTGGAACCGACGCTCGTTTCGCGATGATAAATCTGGACGTGTGCGCCGATTTTGGCGTACGCAAGGTTTTCTTGCGCTGCAAGCGTTGATACATGAGGCCCCTGATCCGCCAACAACGGAGTTCAACCTGAAGGAGCCAAGCCTGAAGGAGGTTGAGGAGGTCGTCGAGGCGGCCCGCTCGGCGTCAGCGCCAGGCCCCAGTGGAATTCCTTATCTGGTCTACAAGCGCTGCCCGGAGCTTCTACGGCACCTTTGGAGGATCCTAAAGGTGATTTGGAGAAGGGGAAAAGTGGCTGACCAGTGGAGGCAGGCTGATGGAGTTTGGATCCCCAAAGAGGAGAACTCACGAGACATCAGTCAGTTTCAATCCATCTTACTGCTGAGCGTGGAAGGGAAGGTGTTTTTCAGCATCGTCTCACAAAGACTGACCAGTTCCTCCTCAAGAACAGCTATATTGACCCATCAGTACAGAAAGGAGGGATCTCTGCTCCTGGCTGCTTGGAACACACTGGGGTCATCACACAACTCATTAGAGAGGCCCATGAGAACAAAGGCGACCTTGCTGTGTTGTGGTTGGACCTGGCCAACGCCAATGGGTCCATACCACACTAGCTGGTTGAGCTCGCTCTCCACCTCCACCATGTTTCCAGTAAGATCAAGGACCTCATCCTGGATTACTACAATAACTTCAGGATGAGAGTTACTTCAGGGTCAGAGACATCAGACTGGCATCGCATTGGGAAAGGGATAATTACAGGCTGCACCATCTCTGTTGTCCTCTTTTCCCTAGCCATGAACATGGTAGTCAAGTCAGCCGAGGTGGAATGCAGAGGGCCCCTGACCAAGTCAGGTGTGCGACAACCCCCCATCAGAGCCTATATGGATGACCTCACCGTAACAACCACATCGATCCCAGGGTGCAGGTGGATCCTGCAAGGGCTCGAAAATCTCATCACCTGGGCAAGGATGAGTTTTAAGCCCTCAAAATCACTATCCATGGTGCTGAAGAAGGGGAAGGTGATTGACAAGTTCCGCTTTTCCATCTCAGCAACTGTCATCCCAACCATCACAGAGCAACCCGTGAAGAGCTTGGGGAAACTCTTTGACTCCACCCTGAAGGACTCAGTAGCCATCCAGACGGCCAGCTTAGAACTTGGAACCTGGCTCACCAAAGCAGACAACTCTGGCCTGCATGGTAGGTTTAAAGCCTGGATCTACCAGCATTCAATCCTGCCCCGCATCCTGTGGCCCCTGTTGATTTATGCAGTCCCAATGACAGCAGTTGAGTCCCTAGAGAGAAAGATCAGCGGCATTCTTCGAAAGTGGTTGGGACTTCCTCGCAGCCTTACCAGCGCTGCCATGTATGGAACGAGTAACATCCTGCAGCTTCCTCTCAGTGGTCTCACAGAAGAGTTCATGGTGGCACGCACCAGAGAAGCTCTACAGTACAGGGACTCAAAGGACTGTAAAGTGTCAGCAGCCGGCATCGTGGTGAGGACAGGAAGGAAGTGGAAGGCATGGGAAGCAGTGGAGCTGACAGAGTCACGCCTAAGACAGAAGGCACTGGTGGGCACTGTGGCAACAGGCAGAGCAGGCCTGGGTTACTTCCCAAAGACCCTCATCAGGCAGACCCGTGGGAAGGAAAGGCACCACCTGATCCAGGAGGAAGTCAGAGCGATTGTGGAGGAAGAGCGGGTGAGCAGGGCAGTAGGACTACGGCAACAGGGAGCATGGACAAGGTGGGAGAGTGCACTACAGCGCAGGATCACCTGGACAAACATCTTGCAGCCAGATTTCCAGCGGGTCCGCTTCCTGGTGCAAGCTGTCTACGATGCCCTGCCAAGCCCAGCGAACCTCCATGTGTGGGGGAAAAGTGAGACACCTTCCTGCCCGCTGTGCTCTGGTAGAGGCTCTTTAGAACACCTCCTCAGCGGCTGCCCGAAGGCTCTGGCAGACGGCCGCTATCGCTGGAGCCATGACCAGGTGCTTAAGGCAGTCACTGAGAGCGTAGCCTCAGCCATCAGCTCCAGCAAGAACCATGATGCTCTAAAGAAGGCAATCTCCTTTGTTAAAGCTGGAGAAAAACCCAGAGCAAACCAACATGCAACAGCAGGCCTACTCCACCCAGCATCAGACTGGCAGCTGCAAGTCGACCTAGGTAAGCAGGATGTGCTGGGGGAACCTCAGCTGGGTAAGCAGCTAAGGTTCCCCCAGCACATCACAAAAACAACCCTCTGCCTAGATATGATCATGACCTCTCAGTCTTCGAAACAGCTGATCATGCTGGGGTTGACAGTTCCCTGGGAAGAAAACATCGAGGAAGCCAATGAGAGGAAGAGGGCCAAGTACCAGGAACTGGTGGAGGAGTGCAGGGGGGGGAGGCTGGAGACGTTCTACAAGCCCATAGAGGTAGGCTGCAGGGGATTTGCAGGGCGGTCTCTGTGCAGGGTCCTCAGCCACCTGGGCATCGTAGGAGCAGCAAAGAAGAGGGCCATCAAGTCCGCAAGCGAAGCTGCCGAAAAGGCCACCAGGTGGCTTTGGATGAAGAGGGCAGATCCGTGGGCTGCTACTGGGACGCAAGTCGGGGCTTGATCACCCCCGGCTGGGTTGCCTGGGTGAGGGTGTATGATGTTGCGAGACCCGAAATACCCAATGACCCCCAGGATACATCACTGATTATGCGTCCCAGTGCATCCATGAGGTGTATCTTGTATATGTGTGAAGGGTTACACCATCTCTGGTTGACAAATAAAGCCAGACCTCCTCCTTTCTTCTTGCCACTAGCTTGAGCATCTCTGTCTGACATTATGAGAGTGAAGCCAGGTAGATCCACACTGGAGTCCGAGTTGTTTTGATTCAACCAGGTTTCAATAAACCACAGGAAACTGCACTCACGGTATGCTTTCTCAGTCTTGACCAAGATCTCCAGCTCATCGCTTTTGTTGGGCAGAGAGTTGACATTTCCCATGATAATTGATGGAAGAAAGGGTTTATATCGCCACCTCCTAGCATTCAGCTTTGCCTTCACCTTTGCACCAGCACGGCAACCACGATAACACCTCCTGATGTCCTCTGGAATTGTATGTTGTTGCCCAGATTTGCTTTTCCTCAATGAAAGGAGCTCTTCTCTTGAGTAAACTCTTCGCCCAGCAGAAGTATCCATCAGCAGTCAACAATATTATAACAAAAATGTGAAAAAAATCTAGCATAAATTACAAAAATTACAGATAATACAGAGAGACCAGACTTGCAGCAACCTCTCGGTTCAAGCACATCATTTGAATGAATGGAGCATCTATGCAGAATATGGACTGGACACCCCGAGGTCAAAATGGGAAGCAACTCCCAAGGTGATGGAGAATGACTGAGCCAAGATCCTGTGGGACTTCCAGATACAGACCGACAAAATGGTAATGGCCAACCAATTGGACATTGTAATCATAGACAAACAGCAGAGGAAGGCCATTGTGATAGATGTTGCCATCCCAAGCGATAACAACATCAGAAAGAAGGTACATGAGAAACTAGAGAAGTACCAAGGGCTCAAAGAGGAGCTAGAGAAAGCCTGGAAGGTGAAGGCAACAATGGTGCCTGTGGTCATCGGGGCACTTGGGGCAGTAACCCCCACACTGGAGAAGTGGCTTCAACAGATTCCTGGGGAAACATCAGATATCTCACTCCAGAAAAGTGCAGTCCTAGGACTTAACTAAATCTCGCACATTAATTATAGTCTAGCATTTTCATGCATTTTTCAGAATTTTGGGTGGTTTACATCTACTTTCTAAGACTTTGTAACTTGGTTGGTTTTGTTGTTAATGTGGAAAATCATGATACCCCCTATGTACAGTTAAAAGCAGTCCATGGTGAATGCTTCACTTTGCTTAAGTGGTTAAAAGGATTAGAAAAGTTAAAGTTAAGCTTGTGCATGGGGACGGTTGCAGGAAATCAGTTATACGTACAGCTGCCAAACTTCAGAGGACATGAGTGAGAGTCCATGGGGAAGTCTTCAAGGTGCATGGGGCACTCAGCCTGAACTGTTAACCTGAAACAAACACAAAAAAACTCAGTTTGTTGTGGTTAATGAGTTATTCTAACTGAACTTGATGTGGACTATTTTCATACCTACACAACAAAACTTGTTAACCTTCACAATTCACATTGCTGTCTTTTATATGTGCATCGTGCAAAAAATTAAAAAAAGATTTATTCACATTGAGAAAATTTTAAAGAGTAATTTCACTTGGGCTGCCTTGTGAAGTCAAGCAGTTGTTCTGTTCCTCTCCCAAAAACTTCATGCTCACTCAGTGAACATATTAGGGCGCATAGAGCAGCTACTTGAAGTCAAGTTAAGTTTTAATGGCAGGCCTCAGTTTCTCTCAAAATGAAGAAATCTATTGAGTTTTTTGTGCAGGACACTTGTGAAAGAGAAAAATATTGACACAGTACAGCCACATGTCTTTTATAATCTTACTTTGGGTATACATATGAATATAAAGCAGCTACCTCATGGTGTAGAGCAGAGTCCCATCCTCCATGATCCGCAGCAGCTTGTTGGGCATGGTCATGTTGTGGGCCACAGATTTCTTCCCATTATGAAAGAAGGTGTCTGGGGTCCAGATCTTACTGGCCATTAGGTTGTTGAGAGGCAAAGTGTTCATGGGCCCGTGAAACTTCAGTCGCTCGTCCTTCCAGCTTTGACGGAAGAAAACGTCAACAGTGTACTCCTGAGAGACATAGAAGACAGAGGAGGCAGGGTTAAAAAGGTCATTCATTTCATCCGTCTCTAACGTGTGGACATAAAACTTTGTCTTTGCACACTTTTGAAACCTTTTTTGACAAGTTAAGAAAACCCCTGCAGGTTCCTAATATAATTTTAAACCAAAGTGTTGTATATATATTTTTTGTTTATTTATTTTTTTAAAGATATTCTATGTCTTAACATCCTCATTCTCGTCATCTTGCTTTGTTACAGATGGACTCAGATTGTTATTATCAGTGTCTGATAACATTACAAAAAGGATACCTGCAGAGGAAAGTGAAATCTTCCCTCCTATACCAAAGAAAAGCAAAGCCTCCCAAGACCCTCACAGGAAAGAAGTCAAACAATACTGGAATAAAAAAAAAACAACAACAAAAAACATCAGTTTTAATTTTGTTGATAAAAGAACTGAGTGTCCTGAGTGAGAATAGTCCAAACTTTCCACAGCAGAAGTTTTATATGGATAAAATGTAATTTTGACAAGCCCTGCAGCCCATAAACTTCTGAATCTATGGAGCACACCTTGGGGATGCCAATGCAATAAATCACTCTCTTTAGAGCCAAAAGACCCCTTTCATAAAAACAGTAGCCTAATTTACATTGTGCGTCAGGAGCTACAGCTGTACCCCTAACTCACCCTCCTAGATTCAATTCATTTTTACATGCTGTACAGTGAAATTGTTAAAAAACATCAATGGTCGGGAAAAAAAAACCCCAAAAAACACAGAGATCGGAGGTGCAGTTTTGTCCACAGGGGGCGCCAAAGTGGCCACAAACTCAACCCTCCATAAGGGCTGATAAGTCCTTCACCTCATTTGAGTGCACTGATCCTTTAAAGCACAACTCCAACAGAACTGTCTGACCTCTCTCCCTCATGAACAATATCCTGTCTATTAGTACTTTAGAGACTCTGTGAAATCAGACGTTCAGAGGTGTGTGTTTGTGTGTGGGGGTCACTGTGTTTCCTAATCAGCCGTGTCCCTTCGTCCTCTTAGCTCCAGCATCACACACTCTTTATTAGCTGAATGCAGCCAAGCCTATTTCTGCACCTGGCCAAGTTCAGACCCGACTGTCAGTCTCAAATCCAGCTGCTCCCTTAGGCAAAATGTCAGACAAGGTTTACATCACAGCGGTGATCAGTCCATCCATCCAGCCGAGTGGAAACATCTTTCTCTCACTCTGCCTCTATTGTAACTTTACAGTCAACCTAAAAAAAACACATTTGTTAAATTTTGACTTTGGAAATTCATCTTTGAGCTTCTTTAAAGATTTAAGCCTCAAGATTTCTGCTCTGTTGTGCCACTTTTTGGAAGTTAAATGATATTTGCAGGTATAGAACATCTTTCAGATACACCTGTAATGGTTTTCAAAGTTCATGTGAGGAGTTTCCAGCTGTCTCTGCAAACCTCAGTGAAGCCCTGAGTGCACACAGAAGACAAAAGCCTGTGAAGATCTTCATCAGTAAGGGCTTGAGGCTTTGCTACACTAACTAGAATATACAGATGCTTTTTCAAAAGCTTGATGTGGAGATGTAGGAAAGGAACACTGAGGAATCAATGTAATCATTTGTTAGAGGTGTGCCACAGGGCTATGTATAAGTTCCCCTTTTATTTACTCTTTATATGAACTACTTGGCAAAAAGTATCCAATGCTGCGTTGCTTCTTTATGCTGATGACACACTTGCATGCTGTTGTGCAGAAACTCTTACACAGGCTGTTAAATTCATGCCAAATGTATTTTATGTTGTCCAGGATAGACCACTAGAGCTGAAGCTTGATTTAACCGCAGAGAAATCTAAACGCCAGGGCCAAGGTGGGTCACAAAATTTACCAGAGATGGTCACTGCTGATGGAAAGGCAAATTTAAACAACTTTTCGAGGGAAAAACAGACAGCATGTCGTCACACCAATATTTAAGCATATTGATCTATATTGGATCTATATTGAATCAAATTAATATAAAACTGAATTGCAAAACAAAGACTCAAAATCTACAAGGGCATGTTTGTCAGGTGACTGAGAGGATTACTCCTGTCACTGTACATTTAATTCACTGAATAAGAACAATGATTTTCTTGTAAGAAAATACTGTCAAACTTGGGAAAACCATAAAAAATAAATAAAAATAAAAAAACAGAAGAAAAATATAAAATACAAATTTTCCTCAGGACTTTTTCTTTAGAAAATCACAAGACAACAGATTTGCAGAGCTTGAAATACCCATGCACATAAAATTCAAGGGTTTTAGACTTTCTAATGTGCTGCTTCGATAGGGGAGTTCAGAAAATAATCAGGTGTATCAGGTTTATTTTTCTCTTCGTGGTGTTTGCCAGAGCAACACAGACGGGACATAATAATTCAGCAATGAGAAACCTTCACAAACATCGAGGCAGAGGGAGCAGCGGGGGGCTGTTCAATCTATCAGGCACAGGGAAGAAGAGGTGTGTGTGTATGTGTGAGAGAAAGACACTGTGTGTGCATGTGTGTGTTCTTGCGTGGGAGATGGATGTGTGTGTGCACGTATCAGAGCTGAGCTATCAAAGGCAGAGAAAAAAGAGACTGTGGTGGAGTGAAATTATCTGTTGCAAGTTTGATGGAGACATGGCATGAATTAATCATGAGGACGTCTTTCTTTTTTTTCTTTCTTTTGAAGGTGCTGTCTCAATCACGACCACTTCCATCCCTCTGCCCCTCGCTTCTGTGCCACTTAAATATTTGAGAGAAGAGGGAGGACGGGGTGAGGGGCGGGTGGGCGGTGGCTCTGATTGTGATGGAAAAACTGAGGAAAGCTTTTAAGGGGAGCAAGACGCAGAGTGTCTCAGTGTGTGTGCCATATTTCTTGGATTTGAGCATTAGTGGTCTGAGAGGGTTTCCCCAGAAAACAGGCTGGATGTTGGACTTAACTGTTACCGTTTTAAAACAGTTTGAAGATCTGAACCTTTTCTAAATAAGGAGCATCAGAAACAGGTTTTAACTCCAGGGCTTTAGAATAAAATAATCAGTAGCTTCATTAACAGTGTGACCAAACACAGTAACCAGATATTGTGGTGACTTTTACTGATTCATTAAGCCTTAGTAAGATGAAGCTGAGCTCATCTAGTCTCTGGGTCATTTACTCATAACCTTTGCATCGTTGTTGTGCTTTTTTAAGCATGATCTTATTTAGTGCCTGAGTAATGTTTATACATTTCTATGGATGGTGCATTGTGGGATATCAGTGTATATGGGAGAGTAAAAAGGTATCTTTACGTTACCAACATTACCATCTGGATTACAGCTGTTGCCTGTGTAGGGAGTATAAAGATGGTGTTGGTCTAGAGACTGTGATTGACACGTCACTGCAGCCAGATTCAAATAAGTAAGAGGGTAATGTGGCATCCAATCAAAAACCCTCATTAGAAACATTATAATAGGGTTCACAATGCACAGCCACTATATGATCCTGGATGTGTTGAATATGTAACACATGGAGCTGCGGCATGGCGTTGGATGATGGGATCTCATTTTTAATAACACAGTCTGACCCCTGCCTTGTCATCACTCTTCTGGTTGGAGTGGCTCCGTTTCCAATAGCAACAGGACAAGCAGAGCTGACAGGTCTCTGTCTGGGAGATTTTATCTGCTGGATGTGAGTAATTACATCTGAGCCAACCCGACGAGAAAACCAGACATTTAAAAAAACAGATCGTTTTGCTTTTAAACGGCTCTTTTTGAAGGAAAATGACAGGAGCCTTACTGTGTTTCTGTTTCATCCCAGTGCTTGTTTGATGCTCCTGGATGTGTTCCTTTATTGTTTGCTGTAACACTGACTTTTGTGCAAACAGGCACCGTTTCAGTGAAAGTGATTTCATGTCTGACAAGGGTAAACAAACCATAACAACCCATACAGCTTACAGTGGAGGAAAAACTCAGAAGAAACAAGTCAGAAAAGACACAAATTCAACAACATGTGCATGAGTCCCAAAAAATTAAAGCAGGGAGGATCTAAAAAAGCCAAAACAGATCTATCATCTCTCCTCTGTCCATCTCTTTCTTTTTAATCTCCCTCTATCAATCTCTCCTCTGTCCACCTCTCTCTTTCTCCATTTCCCTCTATTAGTCCCTCCTCTGTATATCTCTCCCTCTCCATCTCTCTCTCTCTCTCTCTCTCTCTCTCTCTCTCTCTCTCTCCTCTCTAAACCCAGTTCACTCTCAGCAGATGACTGTCTAACATCAGTCTGGTTCTTCTCGAGATTTCTGCCTGTTAAAGGAAGTTCCTCCTCTCCACTGTAACTCTCAAGGTGCTGTAAAGTGTTTCACTCATGTGGTTGAGGATTGGATGGGAGTTGGTCTGATCTAACAGGAGGGGGGCTCTGTCTATTCCCATCTTTACATTGGGTCTTAGTAAACGGAGTAAAGTCAAGACCGGCTTTTTATGTTAAGAATTTTGAGATAACACTTGTTTTGAATTGGTGCTATAAAAATACAGATTGATTAATTGTCTGGAGTATGTGACCTGTGCAGGACTGAGGTGAAGCTGGTCTGTGAGGAGACAGTAATGAGAGTGTGCTTGATCTAGTAGACTGAGATCAGCACTTCTATGAGTCAGTTCCTCAGAGCTTCCAACATTTTGCAGGCTGTCAGGCTGTTTCTTGTTCACACCTGCAGCAAAAACCCTTTAAGCCTTTTCAAAATAAGTGATATGTGTTTGAAACTGCACATTTATTTTGACAGCTTGAAGTGTGCAGTGGAGGCTTTCAGGGACCTAAAGGCACTTTCACTTCAAATTTGTGTGTGTGTTTGCACGTTCGTGCATGTGTGTACGTGTAGGTGTGTGTGCGTTCATGTGTGTGTGTGTCCCTGAGAGAATAATGCACTTTAAAGGGAAGTGTGAGACTTACCATATCTGTGTCAGACACTGGACCAAAACTGGTCACATAGATGTCAGTCTTCACTTCTGTTACTCGATCTGTAAAACACAAAGGAGGAAATTTTTTGGAAGAAAGTCAGGGCACATAAAAATCACAACCTTTGTGAGTCATGGGAGAGAAAAGCATGAATTAAGTGAAAAACAAAGTGATGTTTCCAGTTGTTTTCAACTAGGGTGGCTCAGGTGGGGCACTGACTCAAGCAGGGATGGCATGAAGTATGTAAGTGAACACATATATATAAGAAAATATAGACAGTGGGATTTTTTTAGTTTTTAAAAAAAATTAAGTTAAAGAATGTCAGCGCAACACAACCCCACCTCTAAAGTCCTCGGAATGTTGTGTTGAATTTTAACAACAAAACTCAATGGTTTGATTAAAAAATGGTGCAAAGACGACCCATCAACATTTGAGCTGAAAAGGTTTTGCTGTTTTAAAAGAAGTGTATGCACACTTTAAACTTGATGCCAGCGTCACATTTAAAGGAAGTCCAGATGGAGGTTTCTGTTGCGTTGCATCTTCTCCTAACCCTTTTTAAACCTTAGTGAACCCAGCAGACCAGGTTCTGGAGTATGAGAGAAGTAAAATGCTGTCCCAGAGGATTTCAGCAGCTCAACAGTTCAGGGTCTCCTTTGTTCTGTTTTTGGTGTCATGATGCTCCAAATGTTTTCAATCAGGGACAACGCAGGACTGCAGGCAGTCTAGTTTCTCTGCAGGACTCTTCTCCTACAGAGCCATGCTGATGTAATCCCTGTTGTCAGAATGTGGTTTGTTATTATCTTGCTGAAATATGAAGGTCTCATATGTCAAATTTTTTTATTCTTACTATATTTGTTCATCTGAAAAGGATTTTTGTAGGGTTTCCTCTTTGCATTCTTCACTTTTTTGGGGGGGGGTTGACATGGCAACATTATGAATAAAAAGGGAGAAATTTGTAAATAGTAAAAAAAAAGAAAATAATAATAATAAAAGAAAAACAAACAAACAAAAAACATCACAACAAACTAAAGCAGGCATGTATGATGGTGCAAAGACTAAACCTTGAAGTCATGCAAACTTACAGTAAAATTGTCATTTTGGCTCAAATGATTGTCAAGTGGAGCTAGTTGGTGCTTCTCTTCACAGAAACACAAGTACAAACCTACATGAACTTTTACAGGCAAAGTTTGCTAAGGGAAGTTTAAAACCTTACTGACATGGATAAAAAGCCTTGTTTTTGTTCTTCTATGGCTCAAACACCATGTCAGAGTTTCTAATTAAAGCTGCAATAATATAAATGACCCACAGGCTACATTTCATCTTGTGTGGAGCGACTGTTGAGCCACCAAACATGCATTAAGCTTTGAGTGATTTCTGCCTCATGCAGCCTGAGCGCTGCAGTGATCTGTCAGTCTTTCACTGCCTAAGGAGCCGAAGGTGGCACTGACATCATTTACTCCACATCTTCAACAAAAAAAAAAAAATAAAAAAAAAACAACAGAGAGAAAAGATGAGCTCTGCAGGGATAATGACTTTTTATTCTGTCACAAAACATCATTAAAGCTGTATAGAATGTAGGCAGCCCATAATGTCCACATTAAAGAAAAGCACATATCAGGTTTCTGCACAAATTCAGCTGTGAGGTAGATCTTCAAGGGTTACTGTTCCTCTTGGTCTTATTTTCAAAGAATGCAAAAAAAAATTGGATTTTTTTTCTTCATTGGATTTGATCTCGTGAAAGCAGGAGGGAAATGAAGAGTGTATTTGTAAAACCTCAGAGTAGGCTATACAGAAGTTGCCAACTGTGCTGACACTAAATCAAAGTATTCGGGGAAAACAAGGAGCTTTTAAAAGCAGTTTCACAAACCATTTTCTGACATTTGTGTTATTTCAAAATTCACCCAAACTTAACTTAGCTTAGGCTTTTCTTACCCTACACTAACAGACACACCCCTCATTATACGAACTCTCCTGAACTGAGAAGAACTTAAGTGCAGAGTCTGGAAGTGGCTTTGGTTTGCTCTCAACATGTTTTCCACATTTTGTTGTAAAATAATATATTTAATTTGACTTTTTATTCATCTAGTGGGTACAAAAAGTGAGGCTTGTATAAAGAAAGTTAAAAGAAAACTGCAGTAAGGGATGTTTAAACACATGGAGCAGACATCAACCAAATTGAAGAAAACAGACTTAAATCAACGACAACATGATAGATTATATGGGTTTAAGCTGTGTTAAAAGACTGGTTCAGTGAATAAAAATGCCAACGGACTTTAAACGTTCAAGGAAAAAAGACCTTTAAGGCCATTTTCTGCATCAGCTCAAAATACCAATTACGAAAAGTAAAACACTGAATGTATCATCCTTCATTCTGAAAAATCAGTTACTGGCAGTGATGCCAGAAGCGTGTTACTTAGTAACGTGCTACTCTGATAAGTCCCCTTTTTTCAGAAACAAGTAATCTAACGCATTGCTACTTCCAAACCAGTAATTAGATTTAAGTTACATTTCCAGGTAACTGTGCGCATTACTTTTTCTCATTTTCCTTTAAAAAAAAAAAGATAGGGGAGTGATGTCAGTCATGTAGGTGACAAGTCATATTTTAAGGACGAGGACCATGCACATCTAACACATGTGCACACCAGTGGCGGCTGCTGATCTTTCAAGGAGGGGAAGCTCATTTTTCTGGCCTACATCATAATTGTATTTGTTTATTAGTATGTAACAGAACAGAGTCGCCAAACACAACGGCAGTCATTTTTAACAAAGACAAGAGTCGCTGAGGATCGGTAAGGTCTCCGGAGCAGTTAAGAACAACGGAATGAATAACTTGGAAAATGCTCTGGTAGATGTTTTATTCTTCAAGATCGCTGATTCGCTTGTATAGCTGTCAATCAAAAAAGGATTTCGCCTCAGACAGCTCATCCAATCATGGATGCAGAAGCTTGGAGTCCGGGAGAAAGTCGGGACCGCCCTCTCGCCATAGAACTCCAGTGAAGCTGGGCTTCCGATGGGCGGGACAAAGCCCAGCATTTATCCAATAAGCGTCTAGTTTCGCTGCTGGAACAACCCACTTTAAGCTTCCACATTGAAGTCAGCAGAAGCCCAGCGTCCGGCTGTTTAAAGCGCTGAGGCGCTGCGAGGATGAATGAGAATGAAGTTATGCCGGTTACCTGTGATTATCAGCTTCTTATCACAGTGTCTGAACAAAAGATGAAGGCTTTCTAGTGCGTATTTAGTTAATGAAATGTACACACAGCAGTACGTATTTCACCACTTTTTCTTTTTTTTGAGGGGTGACATTTTATGGGAAGCCGAGCTTCCCTTGCAGTCTTAGAGCAATCGCCACTGGTGCACACACATACAGCAGCCGCAGCAAAACGAACATAAACAACAATGAAGAGAGGAGAGAGATACGCATTCTCAAGCTGGAAATAATTGTAAAACTTGTCTATGTTTTGTCAGTCAAGAGAGACTACCATTAATTTTTTAAATGCATTTTTTTGATGTTCCTGTTAAAATTACACTAAAGTGAGTGTTGGAAAGACAATGGTTGTCATTTATATGTTGAGGCTTTTTAAGGAGTAATACGCAATCAGTAATCAGATTATTTTTTTAAAGTAACTGTAGCAACTTTGGTCATAGGTGAGCGTATATCATAGTTATGATAATAATGATACGTGTCTAAGTATTTTGTTACATTTTTGGATGTGTTTATAAACTTTACCATCCAAAATAAAAATCCCATTATTTTGATTTGCTCAAATGAGAGATTAAATCTGACCTTTTTTAACTTAACCAGGGCAGATTACTGTATTTGTTCAGTGTGTTTGATTTCAAGTCTGATCACAGATTAAATCAGACAGCTACAGCTGAAGCACTAAAAAGCTCTGATAAACGCATTTCTGATGCTGCAGATGTAAGCAGAGCAGACTCCAATAAAATATTGATACTAACATCCCCTTGAGGTCAGTTTAATGTGAGCTTTAGCTCTGTTATTAATCATGAGTGATTAATGGTTATGAAAGCACATTTCTGTGCAGCAGAGAAACACTGAAGGGACCTCCTCCAAGTGTGAAATGAACCCCACTGTTTATTAGTGAGAACAATGAGGACGCACTGCATCCCGCATAAAATTAAAACCTCCCCAATGACATCCATTGTGCAGCCAACAAAGAGACCCGTGAAGAGAGAGTGGTGAGGGGAAATTAGGAGCTTCAGGCCTGGTATAAACTGTAGGACTGTAAAAATGTCAAACGTCGACACACACTTTATAGGAGGATCGTTTACAATAAACAGCAAAAACACCTTGTGGTTTCTGACATGCTGACTCAGCCTGACTGCACGTCAAAGGCGGAGTTAATCCTCATTATAATAAATGTAACAATAACTTTGTTTATATATCACTTTTAAAAACAGGGGTTTACAGACAGAGCAAGTAAAGCATGCATTTAAACCACAGACTGTATAAAGAATGGACAAAGTCTGCCTCCTCACTGGGTGAAGCCACTCCGAGAACAGCACCCTCTGTTGATGGGCTGCAGGATAGGTCATAAATCCTGCCTCTGCCAGCAAAGCTTATGGAGCTGTAGACAAACTTTAGAAATTTATTACACAGAACATAAATTTTTCTCCCCCCTGCTTGTGATGTTGACATGTAGTTACAGTAAGACTGTTTTGTGCTCAAATCCTCCATTTTTGTGCTCCATTTTTAAAAGTTATTAGGGGGTTCATGTTCTTTATGATTGACACCTGATACAGCCTATGGTTGTAATGTTTCCTGTCCCATTGGCTGCAACACAACCCCAAAGCATTATAGATCCACCCCCATATTTCACAGTTGGCAGTGTGTTCTTTTCATGACAAGCTGTTCCTTTTTTTCTCCAAACATACCTTTGCTTATTGTGGCCAAAGAGTTCTATTTTAACTTCATCAGAAAACAGCACTTGTTTCCAGAAGTCATCAGGCTTCTCTAGATGTTCTGTTGCATATTTTTGTCGCTGTATTTTATGATGAGGACGCAGGAAAGTTTTTCTTCTGCATACTCTTCCATGAAGGTCTTGTTTGTTCAAACCTTGCCGCACAGTGGAAGGGTGCACCACCACTCCTGTGTCTGCTAAATATTCTTGCAGGTCTTTTGAAGTCAAATGTGGGTTTTGATTTACTTTCCTGACAGCAAACGAGCTGTTCTCTCTGAGATTTTACTTGGTCTTCCAGATCTCATCTTGACCTCCACAGTTTCCCTCACCTACCATCTCTTAATTATACCTCGCTCTGTGGAAACTGCAAGCTGGAAACACTTTGCTATCTTCTTGTAGCCCTCCCCTGCATTGTCGGCATCAATAACTTTCATTTTTTTCTGTCTTACACAGCTTCTTAACCCTGCTACCTTATTAACACAGAATCCCTAATCTTGCATTAGTGGCAAGGAACTGCCACTGTCACTTAGTGGCCTATAAAATCATCTATAAATGAAAAGTTGCCCTTTTTTTTTCATGGCTGTCATCATTGACTTCTGCTCTAACCACTCATAAGAAAAAATCACCCAGCTTCAAACTTTTAACCCTTTTAATTTTAGTGTAAACACATTGTAAAAAATGCCCAAATTTAAAAAAAAAGGGCTAAAAATAATAAGAGTAATGCAAAATCAAATTTCTTTGTGCAAGATTATCAGAACCTATGAGTGGTATGAGTATGTGTAAAATTAGTTTTAGTTGCACTTTCAGTTTTTGCGTGACAGCCTAAAATAAAAAAAAAACGACTAATCTTGCATTAGTGGCACAGAACTGCCACTGTCACTTAGTGGCCTATAAAATCATCTACAAATGAAAAGTTGCCCTTTTTTTATTATGGCTGTCATCATTGACTTCTGCTCTAACCACTCAAAATAAAAAATCACCCACTTTCAAACTTTTAACCTTTTTAACTTTAGTGTAAACACACCGTAAAAAATGCCCAAAATTTTAAAAAAGGGCTAAAAATTATAAGAGTAATGCAAAATCAAATTTCTTTGTGCAAGATTATCAGAACCTATGAGTGGTATGAGTATGTGTGAAATTAGTTTTAGTTGCAGTTTCAGTTTTTGCGTCACAGCCTAAAATAAAAAAAAAAACGACTAATCTTGCATTAGTGGCACGGAACTGCCACTGTCTTTGTGGCCTATAAAGTCATCTACAAATGAAAAGTTGCCCTTTTTTTATCATGGCTGTCATCATTGATTTCTGCTCTAACCACTCAAAAGAAAAAATCAACTATTTTCAAACTTTTAATCCTTTTAATTTTAGTTTGAAACATGTATGTGCGTGTGTGGGTGTTTGTGTATGCCTACGTGCGTGCGTGCGCGCGCGCGTGTACCTGCGAGCGAGTGAGTGTGTGCCGGCGTGCGAGTGTCTGTGTGTGTGTGCTTACGATCTGTGGAGCTGAGGGGCGGTACCTCCAGATCAGGTGGCGCGGCACAGCAATTAGCCTACGAGTAACTCGGACTGCCGGATGCAAAACCCCGTTACCCGGAAGAAGAAGGAGAGGTCGGGACCAGAGCAGTGGATTAAACACTGTGGATTAAACACTGCTCTGGTCGGGACTGACCCGCGATGGGGATGAGCTTTGTTTGTGTGTGTGTGTGTGTGTGTGTGTGTGTGTGTGTGTCCCCGCCGCGAAGCGCGTAAAATTCGCCGGCGACGACCATCCCACACCCCCGTTTTCGAGTGGTGAGGTGAGGTTACCACCTCCAGAGCAGCCAGCGGCTCCCCGCCTTTGCTGACGCGGGCCTAAGGCTATCTGATCACGGGTAATGGGGCGGCTGTACCCGGGGCAACCTCGGACGCTTGGGGCGCATGTGCCATGAACGCAATCGCTGGCTGTGACGAGCACAAACATTTGCACATGAACACACACGACCATGCACACACGGAAAACACTAACACATAAAAAAAAATACATGCACACCTGATTTATTCACTTCTACAGTCCACTTTTGTTTTTTTGCAAAAAATGGCCTCTCACTGAAGGTCAATAACGGATATGAAAACAAATGAAATTTCAGCATTCATAATTTGAAAAAGTTGGATTGGAAATAGACTCAAGATAAAATGCAAAAAAATGGGGGGAAAAATCTGATTTGAACTCTTGTGGCAGTATATTACAAACAGGTAGCAGATTTTCCTTCCAAAAGACTGCATCTATCATAGGCTGTGGTTTACGGGTGTGTCAAACTGACCAAAATGGTAAAAAAAATAAAAAAACACCAGAATAACAAATTTGAGACAGATTCATGCCCAAATAAAGTGAAATGGTAAAAATAAGATTAAAAAATGCTTAATTTTATTAGTGATAAAATTATGTGCATTTTTTGATTTTTGAATATTGTAATTTTTGCCAAATTCCCATAAGGAATAATGGGGTTTTGACCACCTGGCTAGATCAGCCTCTATTATTCATGAAAAAAAAGGTGCACCTTGTGGCTGAAAGTGCACAGTGCATCTTTAATGTCTTCAGAAAAGGGGGAAAACAGTCTTTGCTGAAATTCATTTTTTCCCACTGATATGGGTATATGTAAAAGACAAGTGGTTTCCCATTGGAATGCATGGGGCACTTGTGTGGCGCTAATGCAAGATTAAGCATATTTGAAGAAAAAACCATAACCATAGGGTTTTTTTTCTTCAATTTCAGGTATATCATGCCTCATCACAAAATACACATTTTCTAGGAATTTCTTTGCAAGGGCATTAATAGAAAAAAAGTTATAGCATCAAAGACAAGGCCTTACCCCTCCAGAAACCTTAATAAGGTACAAGGGTAGGAACCCATGGTTGCTAGATGAATGCACAAGGTTTGTGGAGTTGAAACCCCTTAAATTGGCACCAGCTGGCGCTCCCTGATGAGAATTGTTGACACCTGCTTCAGGACTAACGAGCTGGTGAAAGTCTGTAGCTGCGTCCGAATTGCCCAAGTAGTAGTCGAAGTAGTAGTCGAAGTAATATCTAGCATGTCCGAATTGGCCACCGGAGCGAGTAGCATGCTACTTCAGATACTACTTCAGAAACTAGACACGCCCACATTGTAGGTTGGTCTCGGTGCATCCTACGGGCATGCTACTGACCCAAAATGCACCGCAGGCTTCTTCTTCGTCCTCTTAAAAGTTGTAGAAGCACATGTGATGCTAGCGCCACCAGCTGCTCTGTCTATTTAAATGTGTCGCGAACGCTGGCGGGCCACAGCAGCGCGCACCATGTCGGAGCAGCAGCAGCAGCAGCAGGCGGGACCGCAGCAGTACAGATGTAAGTTTCATGTAACTTCACACACTGTCCTAAAAAATGTGCGGTTGTATCTCTTTGTCATGTCATGGTGTCATATTTGCCCAAGTAATCATTTTATGAACAAATATGTGGCGACATCATGGAGGTAAAGCTCACTTATTCCATCATTAAACTGCACAGCTGCAGTAATCAGGCAGATCTCATTGAACAAACGATCACCACGTGAGTGAAGGCTAAAAGTCATGGAAAAGCTTCTTTGTGAATTTCTAAAGCAGTGCAGGAATATAATACAGCAGCATCCATCACTTGCACAATTACCATTCAGTCTAAAACGGGCACAGTACCTACTCTCTGCCTGCGGGGGTCGTCTTTCCCCACCGCTCGTCTAGTGTGTCCGAATTGGGCCAACGTGTTTAGTATGTAGGAGTAGGATCTAGCAGTAGTATGTAGCAGTAGCATGTAGTATCCGAGCAGGCAATTCGGACGCAGCATGAGCTTCTAAAAAGAATCTTTAAAGACCAGACACTTTAAAGCTCTCAGGGTGCCCTGACATTTGCACATGCCAAAAAGATGATTTTTATTTTTGTAATTTTGTACTTTTTGTAAAATAAAAAGTAACTGTGCATTAATGATTTCTGATAATACTGTCTTTTTTCCCTATTTACCAGAGAGACTATAAATATCAAGGTTTATTTTTTAATAAATAAACTATGTTTTTTTAAAGGGGTGCCCTGACTTTCACTCACAACTGTAGGTCATAAATCCCCCCTCCGCCAGCAAAGCTTAAGGAGCTGTGGACAAACTTTAAAAATTTATTACACCGAACACAATTTTTTCTTTCCCCTGTTTGTGATGTTGACATGCAGTTACTGTCAGACTGGTTTGTGCTCAGGTCCTCTTTTTTTCTGTATAGCTCCGTTTTTAAAAGTTATTAGGGGGTTCATGGTTTTTTGATTGACACCTGATACAGCCTATGGGCGTTCAGGAATTGTATATTCGTAAATCCATAAATGTACATCCGTATACAGGCGGTAGGCGGAACCAAGTTGTCCATAGTATACAGTCTATGATTTAAACAAAGACCAAGAACCTGACATTCAAGCATTCAAGACAGTTATTGGAAAATTAAGAATATAGGAAAAGGAGGTACCTGGGAAAAAAAGGAAAACAGCAAACCAATGATAAATTAATAAATGAATAAACAAAGAAGAAGGAAACAATTGAATTATCTACAAAACTAATGATATAAGAAAAGATGACCTTCTGAATTAGTGAGTTTGTAGCTTCTGGGGTTTTTGGAGCCAGCTCCTGGTGGTCACTTGAGGTACAGCAGTTTCTAACACCTCTGCATTGAACATGAGCAGGAGCTAAACCAATCCAACGTTGTTGGAAGAGACAAATCCCTCACAGGTAAGCTGGACTTCATGAACAGAGCAGTGTGGGCTGCATCTGAACAGAACATGAGTGAAGCAGCAGGTCATGGTTCGGATGGAGGGGATTTTTCAGCCAATGGAAAGTGATCATCCAGAGAAAGAAAAGCACTCAGTATTTCTCCTTTCACTGTCTTGTTTCCATTAAATCTGATGACCTGAGCTAAGTGCAGCACTGTTCAAAAAAGTCACAAATTTACTGATATTATTAACATTTGCTATATAAACATGATGAAGGTCTTAATTTATTGCCATGAATTATTGAATTATTTCATGTTTGTGTATCAATCTTTCAGACTCCGCTTGTACATTTCACAAGTTGGGTACAATCTGTGGTGGACAACAAATGACTTATGATGTGCGATGGCCCAAACAATCCTCATCAGGAGAAACTTGGATTCAAGAGAAATCTGCTGCAGTTATGCTTATCACTCAGATCTGGCAGCTGGCTAAAGCATCACAGTTGTGTTAGCATGGCTGTTATTTTACAGCGGCAGACAATATGTAGCGACCAGTATGTTCTTTATCAAAAGAAACACGCTGCAAATGGAGGATTGACAGTACTTCAGAAAAGACATGCCGTGTATGAAACAAACGCAACGGTGGAGATGAGCTGCAAATGACAAAACTGAGACAGATGCATCACTGATGTTTTAGGTCGGGATTTGGGTTGGGTTGTGTCCATGTTTTCCTCGGACGCAGCCTCGGCCATGGCTGTTTCTTTTCTGTGCGTCCTGCTGATGTTTACACGCTGGTGTCAATGGACATATATAAAGACCCGACGAATCGATCACAGAATTAGTTGGCAACGGATTTTTTCGTCACGACGAATCGACTTAATCGATCCGTTGTTGCAGCCTTAAATTACAGTACAGTAAAGGTAAGTAAATATTTTTGAATAAAGGTTGAATGAGTTACATGACATTAGTGAGTGTTTTAGCCACAGTGGATATTGGTCAGCACCGCCCCTTTAATGAGAAACTGCCAGAGAACCTGCATGCAAGCTAGGCTACAGTTTTCTGCAGACTGGGCCAACTCTGTCACTCATTTTTGAGAGACTTTTACCCAAAGATTAATCTTTGTTTAAGTGTACTGAGTTTTAGGGGCTCTTTCATCAGAAAACCTGTGTATTTTAATACAGAGAAGAGCTCTTGCAGCTGCAGCACACTGATCTGCAACCATTGCCTATCAGAGTCCACCGCTGTACTGAACACTAGATGCTGTTTGTTACCCACCTTCCTCAACATTCAAAGGGTTAAGTCATTGTTTCATGAAGTTCATGTATTGCACCATCACAGCACATTAACCTTCCTCCTGTGTTAGGGTCTGCACCCTTTTTCGTATCGAGACTTTTTGACTTTGTCAGGAACCCCTATTTCAACAAAATAAAAATAAAGAAATTAAATTGACTAAATCATAAATTCTCTTATTTAAATTATGGCACTTGTCGTGTTAGGGTCGCTCTCTGTAGCGTTCACAGTCTTACCTCCGAGGCCGGGCCTCAGCCTGTTGTCGTACCCGTCCAGCAAACTGTCCAGGATCTTGGTGAAGGTTGCGATGTCTTTGGAGTTTCGTGTTGTATTGGAAACTGCCTGTGACCTAAATAAAAAATATGAATATGTTGTCACAGATGCAGACATAAAAAAGAGCCCCCCCCCCACCCTCTGTCAGCTACAGAAATAGACTTCACCAAAGTGCTGCTCAGAGCTGTAGGTGGTGATACATGTTGGTAATCTCCACCTACAGTAATAAATCTGTTTATCCCAGATTTTTATTCTTACTAATCCATGTGAAGGTGAATACTGCTTGACAGTTTTGCATGTAAATTCATGACACTGATGTAAAACTTTGAATGCAAACCCTGAGGCGTAAGTCATACATCTCAGCTGATATATTTTAAAGCTGCAGAGCCCTGAGGCGACCTGCTCACCGTGAAAACTGAGGTTACATTCAAATATATTCATGGGATGGCATTTATTTATTTGTGCAGCACTTTTGATGGGAATAAGAATAAGTGTGCATTTATTTTGACAAACAACAATTTTAACAGGAGCTGGAAGCAAACTCCATACTGTATCATGTATTTCTATCTTTATGCATGCACTGAATCAGCCTAGCTTAGCATAAACACTGGAAGCAGGGAAACAGCAAAACTGACGGATGTCACTGAGATTTGATTCAGTCTATAAGTCTCTGACACCTCCAGGCTTTTCTCCTGCCCTACAGTGGAAAACATTTCTTCTTCTTCTTCTTCATTTCCTGATAATTTTTCAGCTCTAAACAGCAACAATAACATGGTCATTTCCCACTGAATTCTGTGTCTCTCAAAGCTGGAATAACATTGTTCATGGACTGTTTTCCTGTCTTTCAGAGAGCTCAACCTTAACACCACAGTTTTGGGCATGAGTTTCTAACTCTGAAGGGTCAAATACTGCACTTCTGTCTTATACCACATCTCTGTAATTAACCAATCATAAAACAACAAATGCAAATCTGTTAATGGAGCTAGAAAAGATGCATTTCAGTGCGTCAACAAGGTTGTTGAATAGAACTACAATAGTTGATCAAGGATCGATGGATAACACAGCTGGGCTGTTAATCATATTTTGAATTTAAGTTACGACTGGGCTTCTAAAGTCATATATACAAGATAATCAAGACAGAAATATTTTTGTGTTGCCCCTAATCTGTTCTTCCTCCCTACCTCAACAGGAGATTTAGAACAGGGGAGAGGAGCAGTAGGAGGAGGAGGAGGGGGAGAGAGGAGAGCAGGGAAAAGAGGAGAGAGGAGGAGAGAGCAGAGCAGGAAGAGGAGCAGGTGAAGGGGAGAGAGGAGGAGCAGGGGGAGAGAGAGAGAGAGAGCGGGAGAGGGACACTCTAATGAGCATGAACAAGTTTATGACTATTGGACAAAGCTGTGAGAGACATAGTTCTAAATCATAATAAAATATGAGTCCAAGTCTCTTTGTTTTAAAGACCATTTATACACAAGATTGGAGAGACGTAATCTATTTGATCTGCAGCCTGTGATTAAATGTAAGCGGTAGAAAAGCATAAATCCAGTAATTTTCTTAAAAAAGAAACTGATTATCTCATTAGACCGACAGATATGTTTTGAGTAACAGAAAAGGTCAGTTTCAAAGTTTTTCTGTTAACTGTTTTTTTTTTTTTTTTTTTTTTCAATTCTGTTTTCAAAGAATGAAGAGTTTTTACATTTCTAAAACTCATAGTTACATTAATGGCTGTGATACTGATTTTAAATAATGGATATTTTTTATAATCATGATATACATATTAAACAAAATAATCCTCTTTTTTTTTTTTTTTTTAATAATCAAGTAGACCTAATAAATTCTGTATTGACCTGGTTATAAAATAAACCCCAATATAAGATGAACCCCATTTCAGGACTAAAACCTTCAGAGACCAAATCTTGTTTTTACACAGAGAGCTGTTTTAACTAAAAAGTATAAAATAAGTTTCTTCTTTGTACTTCCTGCTTCCATAGATGATATAACAACCATTACAACTTATAAAAGCCTAACCCCAACCCTTACCCCATTTATTACAAAACCCCATATTTAAGAAAATACCGATTTTTTTTCTGATGTATTTTAAGAAAAAGAACTTCTTTCTTTACAACCATCAAAAACCAGGTAAGTGAGTTTTTAGAAAAATCAGAGTTGGATGAAATGTGAACTGATGTGCTGATGAATTCATTCAACCCTCTCCACAGCTGGCATTGAAGAGACCACAACATTTGAATCACTTTCATTTATTCTAGTTCATTTTATAGTTAAATTTTAATGTATTTCAATTTATTGAGACTTATTTATTTTTTATTTATATTCTTCAAGTAAATATACATTTAATTTTATTTCATTTTAAAATTTTTATTTAATTTAAATTAATTTCTTTTAAGGTTTTTAATCTTAATTCGTTTAGATTTATTTTTAGATTCATGTATTCCATTTTTATTTCAATTTATATAATTTTTTTCAGCTGGATTCACCAGCTCTCCTAACTAAAAACCTGTTTAAACCACTGTACTCTGACAGCACTGGAGCAACAACCTGTGTAACAACAGGACCGAAACACACAAACCTGGAACACCTCAGGCTGTTTCCAGCAGAGACGCAGGGCAGTGTGTCAAAAACTGTAAAGCCCAACCATGGAGAGGGAACAGAATCAGAGACACGGCGGGATGCTGCCGGCTGTGATTGAATAAATACTGTGAATACCTAAAAATACTGATCAAGCATCAACTAGATAGTTTTTTTGTTTGTCTGTTTTTTTTGTTTTTATCATTACTGACAGCAGATCAGATCTCAAACACTTATTGACTGTGGTTTCACGTCTATTCGGTTATGATGTTCAGAAAAGTGCAGGCTATCTGTGCTTTGGCGTAGATATCTTATATTCCAGAGCCCTTTTATTGGACCCCCTTAGAGAAAGATCCACTTAAATATGTATCAGAGTAATGGAGTTACACATGACAATTTTTTTTATCATGTTACAGATTAAAGATAGGCATCATGAAACAATCAGCGTCAGCCAAGACCTAGGCTCATGACGCTGATTTATAGAGTGTTATGATACATCCAATGTGAAATAACAAACCATCAGCATATGTTATCCCAAAACTAATATCGGTGGACTACTATTACCCCAATAGCTGGACAAACATCCAGGAGTCTTTAGGGGCTGGTGCATAAACCCAGGATAACAGATTAAACTGGGATTTTCTGCTTACTCTGGCTGATTTAAAATGGAACCCAGATACACAGAAACAGAGGCTCATAGATTACCATGTAGATTTATTCTGTGCACCTAGCCTGCTCCAGATCAGGCTAAACAAACTACAATAAGAGTGTAAGATCAGCCTTACATACCCTATCAGCAGACCTGCTCTGTTTCATTATGGGCCTCAGCATCAGCCCTTTGGAAAGGGGTCTTGGCCTGCTAGTCTTGAATGATGAGCTCTGCCCCCAGTGGATGTTTTCAGCTTATAAAGATGTTTATTAAGGGAATATAATGATCAACAAAAGGTAATAAGAAGTGAACTCCTGTGAACACCTCATATGATATCTACTTTTCTGCAAGAGTTAGAGAAACAAGCAACTCTTGCCAACTCCAACTTGTCAGAAATGCAGTTTAATCAGATTTTTCTTCTCGTGCTGCTGTTTATTTCAGCAGATATTCTGTCTTGATGTTGCTGTTGTCACTTTATCTGCCCAAGTTTACAATAATGTTGCTATAACAGTCAGCCTCTGCTCTATACGGACTTTTATTCACACTCTGGACACGAATTAGTGTTGTGTTTAATAACAGAATATATTTACTCGTATATATGTCCTGGTGTTGCTCCTCAGACATGTTGGCTGGCTATATTTGGTTCATCGGTTTTACGTTGAAGTTGTAAGGGGACCATTAGTGCAATAGATAAATAAATAAATAGATGAATAATTGAACAGATAAAAACCTCCCTCTCTTTATTTTCGGCCCCTAAGTCACTGAAACTGTGCGTGTGCATACAGGAATACAGACATTAAACATGGCCTATAGGTGCAGGAGGAGAGCTGGTGTGCTTTTTCACCCTACACACTCAGCAGAGCTTTGGAGATGTTAAAACACGTTAGAGGAGCAACTGCCCCTAAAGTATCTTGCTTTTGATACGATTGATCACTCTTGCCCTTAAACCAACTTCATAAACAAGGCTTAAATAAGAACGGCTTCAAAATGACCTCTCAGACAAACTTCAGTGTGTCAAAATTAGTGATGCTCAGCTCTGTTTCCTCAGCATTACAAAGGGAGTTCCTCAAGGTTCAGTTCTAAGACCTATATTAATATCAATAATATTATAAATTCATTGAACGGCTGCTATTTCCATATCTATGTTGATGACACCGTCCTTCAATCATCTGCCACTTCCATCTATAAGGCCACTTTATATCTGCAGCAAGCATTTAACCAACCCCAAAACCACTTACAGAACCTCTAACTGGTGCTAAATTGTGCAAAGAAAAAGTGAATATTGTTTCCAAATGTTATACAATTTTTAAAATACAACACAGTAATGGAGAGAGTTCATCATCTTGAATCTTTTAGTGCCTGTTTCGATCTAAAACTTACTTTAAAAGGCACGTCAACAATCTTTGGCAAAACTGAAACAAGAGCAGGGCTTCTCCTTATCATTACCAGGCTGTTTGTCTTTCTGTGTTGAAATACTGGGATGTAATTTAATCCAACCTTAAAACCTGCAGTTTACCACACAGCACTTTGATTCATTATTACAGACAGATGAAACACATCGTGATCTTTTATACCAAAAGCAAAAAACAAAACAAAACAAAAAAAGTGCATGTTAGCAACAGGGAGATATCTACACTTATTTATTTAAAAACTCCTCTTTATTGCTCAGATTTACTCTACATCAACTCAGGGAGTCATTATACACAGTGTGAGTCATGGGTCTTTCTACAAGTTCATTTTAAAGCCAGAAACATACAGGATCCGCATTGAGCGCGTTCCATATTTGCTTCGTAGAGCAGCATTGGCCATTGCATACAGGATGCATATTTGGAGCGTGGCAGCAGCACAGTGCAGCCCCGGTCAGCTGGGCTCAGTATAAAGTAAACAACATGCTCACAACAGGTTTTTTTGCCTTTCTGTGGTTTATTTCCTGCTAATTTGGATATAATTCAGTGACCATTGAGCCTCTACTATATGTAAAGGAGCAATGCAGAAAGTAAACCATGTTCCTTTATGCTGTGCTGTGAGGTTCAGACAGCGTTAGCAGTTCAAAGTCCTGTCGGGGTCCACATGGATCAGGGATTGACCATTGGATTGTTCTGTGTTACTGATTAATCATATGTTTTTATTATTTTCAAATACCGGATGACATGCATGGTTTTCGTGCTTGACTTCCTGTCTACAACCATCTTCTCTGTGTGGATTGACGCGCATTGGAAGCGTAGAAGCAGAGAAAATAGACTATATGCTTTGCTGCATTGATTAGAATGGCAACCTATATGCTGCGTGCAATGCTGCTGCCACGCTCCAAATACTTTGCCTATATGTTTTGGCCTTAAGATGTCTTAACTTCGACAAACAAGACAATTATGTGTTTTAATTTTGGATCTTGATGACTGTTTCTGCTTATAATTTTGGCACATCCTTCTGTTTTTGATTGTGTATTTAATTACTTTTGGTGTATTTCATGTTTAACTCTTGCCCTTTCACTGCTCAATTTATGCACTGCATACTTAATTTTTGTTTCTCTTTTACCTTTGAACGTTCCCCAGTTAGTTATTTTTATCTGCTCTGTTATCTGTTTCTCGGCACCATTGCAAATCAGGTTTCCTCAGAGTGATTTCTGGAGATGTAAATAAAATAGAAAATATTAATAATTATCATTATCATTATTATTGCTGTGGACCTGCTCACTGCAGACACTTAAATGGAGCTTGCAAACATGTGACCATATTGTTATTACATCGTTTCAACATCTGCATCTTAAAACATTTTTTTACATTGAAATTTATTTTGTGGCATGTGGCAATAATCGTAATGATAATTTAGTGGGAATAAACATCAGCATGCTGCATTGGGCTAATACTGCATTGTTGTTGTCTAACCTTAAGTGCAGATAAAATGCAAATCAAGCATGCTGCACATGGGATTGCTGGAGCACTTGAGCACTGAAATGAACACAGTAGTCAGCATCTGACATTGTTAAGTGTGGTCATGATGGAAGGGCCTCCATCTCACTGGAGGCTAAAGGTTCTTTGTTTATGATGAGGCCAGAATTAGTTCCTTTAACTTGCATTTGTGCCAACATTCAACAGGGGCAACGTCACTGATCATTTAAAATATGAGTCCATCAAAAGCAATTATTTCTCTTTGGACTCTGTCCTGTCATAAACCAGCAAACAAGAACACGTGAAACCAAAGAATCAAGGGTTGTTGTCTCACACTTTTGTGTGGGCAGGGTTTGACTCTGCTCTATCTCCTCTGTGGAATGTGGCCCTTATATTCATTACACCAATGTTACAACATATTGATTTAATATACCGTTATGTCTCCCTGAAGTTCTCCATTTTGCATCCATTTAATATGCATCCAGGGAGAGATTTCAGAGAGAGACTGCTGTTTGCTTGAAGAGTGTCTAAATAACTTAGAGTGGCTAATGTACCTCAAATTTACTTTAGAAAAAGACACTCACACAGGTTTGGCTGGTTCAAATAAGACAACCAAAGGATTGCAACAGATTGAGGGAACAGCTAAGAGTTAAGTAGCCTGCCTCCTTCCTTTTTACAAGTTTTAGTGTCAAATGGCATATTTTTTTGTATTCTTACAATTAAAAAAAATAAATAAATAACAAATCAAAGCAGAGGGCACATTTAACATATTTCCTGTTTGAGGGCTAATGTACTTGATGGATTACTTTTACTCTTCTGTAAAAATTATGTTAACCCTGTAAAACATAATTTATACCATAAGGATTAATTGGGCTGCTTTGGGATTAACATGGATTAGGGTTTTAAATTTTACAAAGGAGGTTCATGTTTTTCCCACTGTCACTTTACCTCGCTGTAATGGGTGGATAAAATCGGGTGCCACTGCTAACTCCTAAAGTTGACATTTTTAACCAAAGAAGCTGAAACTCGGTTCGTCAGAAATCAGCCGAATTTCACAGAATAACTCTGCTAATATTCTGCGGCTGTTTAAAGCAATGACTTCTCCGTAGTGTCTTTCATATACCAAATCTTCTTGTTAATGTTACCAATATTAATGAATTCTGGTGCTGCGTTCATGTGGAGAGGAGCGGAGCGCACAGAGCAACCGGTGATGATGGAGGGTTTGAAACAGTAAACATATTTTTTCATTCTAACAAGAATATTCAACATCCATGTCTTTGCTCGTCATCTTATTCTTTATGTGCATGTTAGGTTTGATATTGTTCTGCTGTAAGACAAAGCTCCGTGTCCGCTGCTGCGCGCGCTGTCACTGTCGAAGCAGTTATATTGTCTTCGTTTATGGAAAGAAAAAAATAATAATAATAATAATTATAAGTGGAATAAAACTCACCGAGTCTGCCACAGAACGATCAAAGAGACCAGTACAGGCATGGACTTTGAGCTCCATCGTCCTCTCATTGCTGAAGCCTGCGAACAAGATGGGAAACGCTTTCAGTGTGCGTAATTACACGGTAGCTCGGCACAAAGCACCTGACAGCGGCTGCATTTTAACGGATCCAGCAGAAATGCAGCTGTCTCCAAAAAGACAGAAAACACTGGGTTTGGTCTCTTCATAATGGGTCGTGTTTAGAGCACTTGATCCAAGACTCCCCAGAACAGCTCCGTCTCCAAACAGGGTCCAAACAAAGAGCTTTTGTTTGGTTTTGAACAACGTGTCCAATAGATTTGTTGAGCGATGAATGCTGCCTACCTGACACGCGACAGGTGTCCCCGGGGTTTCCAAGAGAGAGTGGGCAGTAAATGAAGACAGTGAATGAAGAACTCGCTCTCTGTGGAAAATGCCAGTAACCCAGGGAGATGACAGCGGTCAGTGTCCGCTCATTCTGTCGGCTCCTCCAGCAGAGAATCCCCTCAGCTCTCCCTGACTAACACACTAACCTGAGAGCAGAGCGTACAGAGAGCAGCACCCTGCTGTAACACGACGCACTGATGGAGAAACACTGAGGCGGAGTGGTCCATCTGCAGAGAAGCGCACGTTTCCTCCCGGTGTGGTCTTTGCATTCGTGCGTCCAGTTGCGCACATGGATATCAAACATGCAAGGGGCACAAATTAGACAAAGTGTGCCAATTCCATAAACTGTAAGGGAAAATATTTTAAAATTTTAAAATTTGAAGCCTGTTATAACATTTTGAAAGACAGAAACTAATGAGCTTAGCACAAAAAGAAAGCGTTCTACATCGTGTTATATGAATAAGCCCGACCTTTTTGTGCAACAATCCTGACTTTCAATTACCATTTAAAATATAATAACCCTGTAATGTAGGACCAGGCAGGCAAGACTGAAGGATCAGACTAAGGGAAGAGCACTTTTTTTGTGTTGGAAAAAATCGGTTTAGTTCAGTTAATTAAAGCTCCTGTGAAGAGCTGATTTATTTGAGTCAATTATGACGCCCCCTGTAGACAGAGTAGTTTTTACTCGTCTTGTCCTCTACATGCTGAAAAAGTGTCTTCTGACAGAAAAATCTCATCCTGGCAGTCAAATGTATCATCAAAGACATTAAAAATTATCATATAAATATTGCTAAGTTGTTCCAGATGGTCTTGTGTATTTCTGTATATCATAAAATGGCATCAGTATGGATTTCAGCATATTTCACAAATTGTTTTAATCCTGTTTCTGCCATGTTTTTGTGAAGGCATGTTCTGATCTCTCTCTCCCTCTTTCTGCAGGGGGTGTGTCGAGGGGCGGGTTGATCTCTGGGAGCATAGCTTCCAGCACACCTGCAGCTTGTTCTGCCTAAATTGTTGTTCCCTTTGCTTCTGCACCCTGCTCTAGATCTCAGTGATCTCCTGCGTTTCGCCATGTGTAGTTCTCAGTGTCTTCCTTGAGTTTAGTGCAAGTTGATACGAGTTGAGCAAGTTGAGATTGTCGTTTTTCCCGGTATATGGTGATTTTCTATTTTTCTCTTTTGTTGATACTTTTCCTCTTTGTGAGCGTTTTCAGTTGTTATTTTGTTTGAGTATTTTTTCTTGTGAACTTTCTAAGGTGATCTTTTTGTCAATAAAATCTTTTGTTAGAACTCTGCAACTGGGTCCTGGTTTCGTTGATTGGCACGTAACACAAATATTAAAAAACACCGTACAGGAGCTTTAATTCATTTGAAAGCAATCATGCAGACACAAACTGCTGCTCCAGAGTTAGCCATACAGCTAAAGTTTAAAGATAGAGCGTAGCATCTTTCATAGTTTGTTCCAGCAAAACAGGTGTACGTGCCCTCTTGGTTTTGTGAGGCACCACCACAAGTAAGTCTTGAGTTGGGTCAAAAAAGAGTCTCAGGAGTAGAAGGGGACTGAATGACACTTTATCCACCACTAGGGACAGCAGAGGAGAAGAACTCAGCTTAAGTGTGTGGGTGTGTGCCAAGTCCTCAGGGGAATGGAAATCTGGAACTAAGATAATTCATTCCACCACCAGGGGGCAACAGAAGAAAAGAGTCTGGCAAATAAATTGAGGCCCTGTTGTGAAGGGAGCACCGGGCGCCATTCATACGTGATCAGGAGTGTAGACCTGCATGAGGGACTGCAGGCAGTTTGGCTGTTGTGTGTTGGTTGAAAACCAGACAGGCTGCTGTCGGCTATCTGCAGAGGTGCTGATGTGCATGCAAGGAGCCTGCCAGTAAGGAGTTGCGGTATAGTCAATGTTTGATATTTAGGAGCCATGCTACTGCTCTGTCAGGTCGGGTCTGATCCTACTAATGTTATGGAGGGTGAATCACCAGGACCATGCAATCAAGGCCACATGGACCTTAAAGGCTAACTGATGATCTATTATGACACCCAGATTCAGGGCAGACTTAGTGGGCATGAGTTTAATTGATCCAAGCTGGCTCATGGTGGGCGGGTGTCTGGTGGGACTGGCTGCAATGACAAGAAGCTCTGTTTTGGACGAAGTGAGTTCCTTTATCCATTCAGAAATATCACTGAGGCACGATAGGATCCAAGCAGCAGCTAATCCACCTGCAATTGTTGCAAAGAAGAAAAGAGAGGAAATGTTAGAGGAGGTGTGATGGACAGCAGCTGAATCAGTCAAACTAAAAATGTCATAAATTTAGGAACTATGATGCTATCAAATATAACCAATCAATTAATAGTTTATTTTTTAGGGAGGTGCAAGTTCAGCTATGTTTTGTGTAAGTATAAGGCTTTTTAAAACAGATACAGATCAGGTATAACATGTTTTATAATCTCTGTAAATATTTTCCTGGCAAACTTACAGGCAAACCATTATTGTGTCTTTCTACCTGTAAACCAAAGGACAACAGTCACAGGTGAAGCAAACTGCTGCATCATATCAAGACTATAGTCCAATGTTATGTAAGCACAGGATGAGACGGAAGAAAAACAGCTGAGGAGAAACTGTGGTAGCATCGAGACCTGAAAGGTCGAAAACGTCTGGTGTAATCGTCCCTGACGGCAGCAACCTTCAGGAATAACAGAAGAAGAGTATGAGCTGTTTAAACCTCATGGGGAGATTTATAATATTTTAGGTGGGAGCTATCTCCTGCTGACAGGGTTCGGGCGCTAGTTAGGATGCTAATGCTAACATATGTCAGTGTGCGCCTGAGAAAAAGAACAATACACGGCAATCAAACAATGTACCTGCAAAAGGTCATGTTTGATGGGATTTAGAAAAACAGTGCTCATCAGGGGAGTACTTTAGTGACTCTGACATTTATTATAAAGCAGGAACTAAAGCTTTGTTCCAAGTATAGTCTTGGGATGCAGCCACAAGGATTTACCTTCTTGTCCCCGAGTTTGTCTCTTCAGATTGTGGGAAAATAGTCAGTTCATTGTCATTCAAAAAATGGATTTATGGCATTACTGTGACTGAAATTGGGCAATTGAAATACACCTGAACATCGCATGTGGCACATCGGCGTAGCCTTGAAATCTCTAGGTCGTCCACCTAACTGCAGAGGTTTCCAACATTAGTTTGACTAACTCAATGAATCTCATAAAAGACTGAAAAAGACACAGGGGTCACTTTAAACTGAGTAATTAATTCATAGAAGTGCATTAGAGCCACGGAGGAGCAGATGGCAAATAACTGAACAACTTGAAAGGCTCTCATTTTAGAGGTGGACTCATTTGAAACAAGATAAAACAACTTTGAAACTCATAGTAAAATACATAATCTTGGTAGGTCTGGAGGAAGAGGACAAGTCTAGAAATCCACTTCTCCATCACTGACAAACTAAATTCAAGAAGAGGAAGGACTTCCAATACCATATATGTCCTTTTGCTGATGAGGAACTGAACACAGTCATGCTGTTGAGGGAATGGTTCCCATGATTTCACCCCAGTGCTTTTACATGAATTTTTGTTGAATAAAGTAAATGTTAACAATGCAGAGTTACTAACAACAGACTGAAAGACAGTAGCTTTTGTCTAAAAGCACTGATTATGTTTGGGACAATTGTAAAGACAGGGGGCGCCAAAACCAACACAAAAAGTTCCTCACAGCAGCTTTAGTGATCAGAGAGAAAAAGTACATGAGTCGAAAGTTTGATTTGATTTATAACAGAAATGCATGCCAGAGATCAGACTTTACCTTCCATGAAATCCCTTAAAAACGCTTATAAAGATACTGTTGTCATGAACACTACAGACCATCAAACCTGAGGGTCTGTTTTCATTTAGCTGTATTATTAAAACAGTAAATCATCCATAGATCATTACTTACTGTCAACTTGTTTGTACGTGAAGTTGTTTGATGGGTAATGTGCAGGATCATGTGAAGTGAGGAGGTGGTAATGCAAAGTGGACTTCTTCATCCTTTAGCGACTTTATTCGTTTTAAACTTTTCTACAGTTGTTTACTGTAAAGATAAAGATAGTTTTTTTTTTTTTTTAATTCTGACTACTTCCTGTTTTCATGAGCAGAACATACTTTTAATCTTAACACCTACTGTCACATATATATTTTAGATGCTTAAGTTCAGCAAACATCTGTGAGTTTTGGTTAAATGACAGCAGACTTTCACTTTTCCCAGAGTTGCTCTCTGGTGTGATTTCAGTACTTTTATCCTGCTGGGACTTTCAGGTCCTTATCCACCCCTGGTAGTGAGCAGCGGTTGATAAAAGTGGTGCAGGCAACAGATAGAGGCTCTCAGGGGCATGTTGGATAAGTCCGAACAATAACATAAAAGTCAAGATGTCAGCAGAGAGTAGAGTATCAGCTCAGACTCCTTCTCTGGAAGGATGCGGGTAAAGGGGATGGACTCGCTGGTGTTTATTCTGCCCCATTTTTGTTGTTTATGCTGCTCAGTAAAAAGTTACAGCCATAAGCACTTTGTTTAACCCATTTACAAAAACTAAACTCAAATTCAATTGCTACCTTTTTTTCACTGATTCTTGAGATCCTCTTCATCAATGCCATGTTGTTATTGTTGTAAACCTTTTACTTCTTCTTTCAGGGGTAATTGAGCTCTGTTCTCATTTTATCTCTACATATTTGCTTTTTTTTAATGCTTCTTATACAGCACTTTAGTTAGCTTTGATTTCGGTCACACAGCCAATCCAAAACTGAAGAGCTGTGACTGATCTCAACAAAGGAGCTGAAATTTGCCCGGATGCAAAGGCAGCTTGCACAGTTTTTCCTTTTCTGAAAGTTTAAAGGCCACCAGAACTGAGGATTGATGTTGTCACCACATGAACCTCCATGTTGTAAAAGGTTTGGCAGAGCACATCTTCATCAGATCTTCACCAGTTTTGGAAGAAGTGGTCTCTTGTAGCAGCTTGTGGTTTCTCCTGCCAGTGCTGATGACTGTTTGCACTCCAGACAGCACATTTCCCAGCTTTGTTAGGGCGGAGCTGCTCTCAGAGGGTCGTAAAGTGGACCCAGGCATCAAGTGTTAAAGCTTAGTCATTGGCAGAGTCATACTGAACTGAGCATGAAATCTATGAGGGGCACACATCACCATGGAGGCAGAATGAAGGTTTCCTAAAAAAGAAAATGACGGGACTCAGCTGGAGAAATGTGCCATTGGCCATCCCTCCATCTTTTACCGATGAATGCTTCTGGAGGATATTTTAGTCTGAAGTATCACTTATCAACATCCTGTTTGCAGCAGAGTGGAAATAACCTGTGAAGATGCTCATTGAGGGACTACTCTGATGCTGCCACCGAATGCAGCACAGACAAATACCCTGGCACTGCTGTTTGTTCTCAGGTTTAGACAGTTTTCACAACATCAAACCAGTCCAGCTGTTGTCCCTGTCTTCTTTGTTATCTATGGCAGTAATCCTTTTTTTAGGGGAGTAAATCCTAGAATTTAGAGAAATAAACACAAGCTTTTATCAAATTACAATAAAAAAGACACTAAAACCGTGGCTTTTCTGGCCATTTAGGATCCAAGACCCAAAGCAGTTTACAACCTTTGAATTGTATTCCAATCGTGACTCAAATGATGGAAAAGTAGGACTGAGTTTTTATTCTAAACAAAAAAATGTTCTAGACCAGGGGTCAGCAACCCACGGCTCTTTCTTCTCTAAGCTGCGGCTCCCAATGGATTTGGAAAATAAATAATAAATACTTAATTGCATTTTATTTTATTTTATTATTATTATTATTATTATTTTTTGTAAATCTAAATTCAAAGATTATAATGCTCTTGTAACATTAAATAAACTATTAAGGCTGCAACAACGAATCGATTAAGTAGATTCGTCGTGACGAAAAAATCCGTTGCAAACAAATTCTGTAATCGATTCGTCGGGTCTTTGTATATGTCCATGGACACCGGCGTGTAAACATCAGCAGGTCGCACAGAAAAGAAACAGCCATGGCCGAGGCAGCGGCTGAGAAAAACATGGACACAACCCAACCCAAATCCCGACCTAAAACATCAGTGGTGTGGGAAAACTTCACCAAGACTGAAAAGGAAGGCGTTCAGTGCAACATTTCCAAAGACCGTTTTGCATGGCTCGGGAGTACATCGATGATGCGTGAGCACAGGGCTCTCAAGTCTCACGCATTCAGCGTATGACACACGCATTCCCACTCGTTCACACGCTCACACACCACACATTGTATTTCTCACGCATTTAAATGAACACGGTGATGTCCACCAAGTTGCACTTCTTCAACTATGGAACTGGGGGAAATCAACTGAGTCCCGAGAGTTCAGAAGCTGCGTGCCACGCACAAGCCAATCAAAAAGCAGCATTGCTGTATCCGGGTAGATTTTGATATCTTGCGGTTTAACTACAGAAGACAGACACTCGCCGAAATAGTTCATTTATTTCATAAATGCAACTCGCTACAGTTTTTTATATACTTTGTATAAAGGTAAAAAAAAAAGATATATGCAATGTTATCTTCATTTTAGATGTCAAAGAGGTTTTGTGGCTCCCTGTGTTTTCTTTTCTGTGGGAAACTGGTCCAAGTGGCTCTTTGAGTGTTTAAGGTTGCCGACCCCTGTTCTAGACAGATTCTTTTTAAATGTATTTCGTGACCAATGCTGATGAAATTTACCTAAAGAAAGCTGACACATAATGCAACCTGTGAGAAACTGAACCCTAACCCTAACCCCATGCATGACAGTAAGAGACAGCAAAGCCTGAAGTGGGAGTGCTAAAAACTGCAGTTCCTAAAGTGTCCACTGGATGCCAGCTCCAGAAGCATCGGAAACCACATACACACCCATGAGAAAAGTCCAACTTTACTTTTTAAATTATGATATTTGTTATGTATGTTTGCATCTTGGTTAAAGAAAAATGGGGCTGAAAGTTTACATATCTGAGTAATTTATCACTCTGACATATTTAGAATATCTTTTTTCCATCTATGCTAAAAAAGATTGCTGTTTTGAAGCTTTAGACTCAGTAAACAATGAATTCTGGTGGCTGGTTAAAGTAATGACAGCCCTCATGTATGGCCACCTTGAATGCTTTAAAAGGCGTCTATGAATACAGTTTTTCTCAGTCACTTTGGTGCATTTCTCACATCACAACATTTAGTCATTTGTACACATCATAGTAGCAGTTTCTCATTCCTTCCACCAAATTGCAAATGCTTTTGGACATGCATCAGATGCTTTCACACAATTCTCTGCTGTTTTATATTATTATCATCTGCAGATGTCATGTCAGTCAAAATGAGCTAAACCTTTGAATGCTGAATAGTCATTTCCTATAAAACTAGTCCTATAAAAATAGTCATCCTTTAATTCTTTGAGACATTACATACAAAAATGTTGATCAAGTTCTCAAAATCTGTCAGGACAAACCTGTAGTGTGGGTGGTTCGTTGTGAGGACCCAGAAGCAGACACTGAGACTGAGATCAACTTAAAGAGAATTTTAATGTCCAAACAAAAGGGTAGATAATGCAACAGAGGATGTCCGGTAGGCTGGTTGGCTGGCTGTCGTGTGGGCTGGAGACACTGCAGGAAAAACCAGAGGAGATGGAAGTTATTGAACATGCGCAGAGTCACGAGGAGCAAAGTTCTGATGATGATACAAACGAGGTTGGCCAGGAGACGCGTCTTTACCGCTAGGAAGGGTAGACAATACTCAGGCCCTGAGGCTGAGGGCTGCAGGCTTCTTAAAGTGCCTTGATTGGAGATGTGGAGCAGGTGTGTAGTCTCACTCAGCCTCAGCGCCGGGGGAGGGGAGGAAGCTCTGGAAAAGAGTAAAGCCAGACCAGGCTAACAGGGAAACACAGGAAGTCCAGCCAAAATAAAACAAGATGAGGAGGCGTCTCACCACAAACCCCCTAGAGGTGGAAGAGGGTCCCTTTTTACTCCACAACAAGAGGAAGCCATTTGTGCAATAGTGATTGCAAACAATGCCATAAAGTTGAGAGAGACACAAAGTGCTGTTATAGAGTTACATCTCTATAAATACAGTCATGTGTAACTTTACTGTAGTTTCCAAATAACTGAACAAATAAAGTATAATGCTGTCTTCAGCATTTTCAGATAGTGTCACATAGATCTGACTTTTTTGCGTTTGAAAACACTTAAAGAGTAAACAGTCATAATGAAAACATGACAAAGCCATTTAACTATCTTGTTCATAAACAATGGAGTCTTCAAAGGACTTTTCATTTTGATGACACTGACACTTTCATTGACATGAATACTTGCTTTTAAGGAACAAACTCTCCATTTTGAGAAAGTGACATGCTTTTGCAGAATATCAACTAGGTTTCACAGTTTGAACTCATTATTTTGAGTAACGCACTAACTGTTGTGCAAATGTTAATGTGAGAAACGTACCAAAGGGACTGAGAAAAACTGTAAAATGCATTATTGTTATTATCAAATTACGCTCTGACATCTATTCAAGAAATGAAAGTCTTTTCCAGTTGCTCACTTTAAATATAAGACGTTCTCTAGCGTCAGGCTGACTGAAGAGTTTTTAAAGCGCTGGTGAAGTTTGAAGCTTCTGACACCACCAGTCACGTTGAGGTTTCATTTTTGACTCTTAGGACTGAAGCTGTGTGGTTCACATGACTAACACAAGGATCTGAGCTTTGGTGTCATTTACTTCTCTAAAGGAGGCTTGCTTTCAATCCACCTCTGCCTCATGTTAGATTAGCTGTGATAGAGCCAAGGGTTGATTGGCCATTTGATCAGTCATAAAAAAGATGCTTATGTTTTACACTGTACAGTAGGAATGCTCAGTTATAGCAAAAGTCATGAAGTCCTTGCCTCTATGCTCATTTCCTTGACTTTTAGACACACACACCTGCCTCCTCCTGCTCCTCACCCTGCTCTCCCTCTCCTCTCTCCTCCCGTCTTCTCCTACTTCATCACTCTTTCCCACAGGGACAGTGATGGGGTGAGTGGAGTGAGAGGGCTGTGAATAGTGACTGTTTTTTGTGTTTGTTTTTTTGGAGGTTGGTCTTTTCAGGAAACACTAAAAAAATAGCTGCTTAATTTACACAGAGACAGCAACTGAGCAGAGAGAGGGCCAGAAGAGTAAATGCATAAGAGAGTTTGCACAAGAGGAAATCTTTCCAAGAACCTGCTGTTCTTACATAATTGTGGTTAGGTTTAGGACAACTTATCTATACAGGAGTTTTGCAGAAACTAAAATACAGAGCTGTGCAGGAGACTTCATTTCACAGATAACCTTCCTTGACAATTCTTTAGAATAAAAGCACTGTGGGAAAATAATGGAGAAGAAGATATGTGACCCTCTTATTCCCTTTATTTTATGTGTATGAGATGAAGGTGAAACTGAGTTACTTCTTGAAACAATTTTTCTATCAAAAGAAACTCATGGGTGTCTGTTTGGCGGGTAACACCAGTCGTGCTGTTCTGCTCATATGCATCTTCATGCATCCTGACAGGTTCAGTCCAGTATGAACAATTCCACCTGAGGCCATCTGAAGAGCTCCACCATGGGAACTTTCTGACCCTGTGAGCTTAGAGACCTCTGGGTTAGTGGCACAAGACTGTCGGAGATTTCCTCACAGTTACATTCAGTCCTCAGTGCAGACGACCATGTTATTGTCAGAAAGCCTTCTGAATCTTTAAAATCATGTGTTCATCACAAAGACAACAGTCTCGTACCATCAGTATCTCCTCTGCACATGTTGGTAGAGCTGCACTGAAATTCACACATATATCCTACTCACAGTCCAAGCATTTGCAATGAACACACCACAGAAGTCTGAATGTATTACAATGTATTTTGAGTTATTTGAACTCAAGAATCAGTTCTTAATCCAAACGAACGTCCCTTTAATTGTAGACATTTAGGAAAGAGACCGATCAGACTCCTTTGGCCTGACTCTGCTAGGAGTCACTGTATCACACATGTCTATGTGCAGGTAATCTCTGTCAGCAGGTTTTGCATATAGTACACACAAGCACAAGCCAGTGCGTGTAACTAAAGCTGGGTTAACACTGTACCATTTGAGACTAATGCTGACACTATTTTTTAGCCTTACATCTGCTCATGAAGCTAAATTTAAGGCACATCGTGCATCATATGTCATGCAGTAAGCGGGGGTCACATGAGCTGATCAATCATGGCTACTCAGTTGCTCCCATAGACTGTATAAAGAATGGACAGCGTCTGCCTCCTCGCTGGGTGAAGCCACTCCGTGAACAGTACCCTCTGTTGATGGGCTGCAGTATAGGTCATAAATCCCGCCTCCGCCAGCAAAGCTTATGGAGCTGTGGACAAACTATAGAAATTAATGAGACAGAATATAAATGTTTCTCCCCCCTGGTTGCGATGTTGACATGTAGTTACCGTAAGACTGGTTCGTGCTCAAGTCCTCTTTTTTCTGTACAGCTCCATTTGTAAAAGTTATTAGGGGGTTCATTTTTTCTGTGATTGACACCTGATACAGCCTATGGGCGCACAGAGATTGCGTAGCTCACCCGGGGAATACGCTGTTTGAGCTAAGCGTCATCACAGCGACTCTCAGCGACTGTGCGGCCGAATGCACGCACCACTACTGCGCAGCACTAGTTCCAGGAAATGAAGAAAAATCCCAGAAATACCGAGAGCTATTTGGCTTCAAATCCGTATACAGGCGGGAGGCGGAACCAAGTTGTCCATAGTATATACAGTCTATGGTTGCTCCCAACTGGTCAGATATCTGTGTATCTGAAATTTTGGTCAATCAACTGAACGCTGTTGCACATCGACAGCAGGGTTACGACCCAATACCTTGCTGTTTTTTCTGACAGCACCTCTGTAAAAATTGCAAGCATTGTGGCAACACATGATAAACACACTAAAGCAACATCATGCTAAGTGTAGTCAGGAGTAAAGTGTAATGCATACAATGCTGCAAGAGCTTGGTCAATGAATTACGTTTCTTCAGAGATGAGCTTCATGGCATCTGCAAACCTCAGCTTATCCAGTATGTTCAAACACTGGAGGCTGTTTCTAAACAATAGAGAGGACAGTAGAAATGCAGAGGAAAAACACACACTGCATGAGTTTTGTCACAGCTGGGGTTGTTATGTCTGCAGAAAGAAAACTGTTGTACCCTGCAAAGACCATCAGCCATTTGAAGAAAGATGCTGTGTTGTACTAGGCCCATTGTAGTAGCTTCATTAATTATTCAAACTCAGGACATGCTGACAGTAGCAGACAGGATTTAACTGTAGGTCTAACATGGAAAAAGGGAGCAAACATTTACTTATTCTGCTGCAGTGTTTGAGTTTAAGGGCTCTATTTTCGTGCCTTGCCGGAGACGTGCCGCAGGCGCGGCGTAAGTCAGGTCCGCCGCGCCAACAAGGCGTTCCCAAGCACAATTTGGTATTTTGTTGAGCGGCTCAGCCCGGCGTAAATATCCCCCCTCCCTAACTCAGCTCCTCATCGTAGGGAGGGAGGAGAGAGGGCGTGGAGTGGATTTAACACACCCGAGACCTGTATTGACCAGTAACCTTTAAATCCACCACCAGTGAGGCATATTACAATTTTTGTGAAGTAGTCAAAGAGATCAAGAGATGTCTGAAGACAGCAATGCCACATGATGGCCACAGAAGGCAGCTCCTCACAACAAGCAGACATCTCGATGCTGGTATTAATTTCATTCCAATTCTTGCTAAGCTATTGGATGAATGAAGCTAAGTGCCTCTTATGTTGCCAAAATGCTCTACTGCAGTCTGCTGCGAAAACTCCTCTTTGTTTTGAAGTAAGAGATAAATTCCACTATCACAGCCGTACTTTTGACTAACGCAAACCAAAATTCTTACTTTTAATTTCATATTGCCATGATACATTTTGTATATCTACATGCAAGTGTAGCAATCAAGACAACCCTGGATGTGAAACCCACACATTCCTTACAGGAAAGTTTCCTTATCTGGTCCCAGGAAACAGGATATAAATCTTTCCAGACGTGTTTGCACTTTCAGGTTAAATAAGTGACCCAACCATAGGTTGACTAAACCTCTGACTCTTCAGGATTGGTCAGTTCGGCGAACAGAGACAGAGTTTTTATTACCTTTCAAACTGACTCCATTACTGACCATCTAAATAAACATTAACGTCTCAACCCAGATCTCCCATTTGAGATTTAGCGTCTTAAAGTGTGTGAACATACGGACCCCAGGATAAGGGGGGACACTGACCTCCAGACCTCGGTCGTAAAACCCTGCTCGACCATACACTGATAAAGACTGCATTCCTTTGGTGAAAGAATACAAATGACTGATCATGACATCTTATGCATTCAGCAATGTACTAATCTGTCTAATCATGAAATTTGTGTTAAAATGAGATGTTTCCCGTTTTTCTATGTGCTTCAGAAGCCAAGTTATCTTATCTGACAGAATAAATCCTTATTCTTTAGTTCTTTAGACCAACAGCTTTTCAGACTGTTTCATGAACTTTTAAGAGTTAAATTTATTGACTATGAATCCTAAGTTTACTCTAAGTAACAGAAATAGTTTAGAAATGTTTGGTTTATATTTTAGTTATTTATTTAGTATCTTAACCATTAGGTGGTTGTAATGTCACTGAATAATCTGAATGTGAGTATTTAGAATCCATTATTAATCATGATGACGTTCATTCACATGTGTTTACTCTTTTGTTGTTCACAGTTTCTATGTGTTACTATCTGTTTCATTTCAGAGTAATTTAGCATGTTCAATGTGATACTTAAAACATAATGAGAATGTTTGATGTGATCCTACACTTCATTCATATGTGTTTAGTATCAAATTATTTATCATGAAACCAAGCATTCAATGATATTAATCATAGTGAGTGAGTATCAGATCTGACTCTTTTACCAGCCAAAAGAATAAGTTAGATCA